AGCAAATCCCTCTCTCGTGGCTAAAGATTAAGATCGGCCAAAGATCGCATGTTCTGTTTTAGTCAAATGAATAGAGGTCGTGTTGAGGGTCAACAAATTCCAGCTCGTCTGTGGAGCGCGACTCGGAGACGGATGGTTGTCGAGTTTCTTTTGGGTTTCCATCACGGTTTACACACGTTTTGCACACGAACACCAACTCAACCAATAATCCTCAAAAGGCCTGAAGGTGTCACATGACCCGATTTACATGCAGCATTTCATGGCAAAGGTTCATTTTTGACTCATTTAGTTCTTTGTTGTTTTGTTTTAAAGGAAGCGCCATATGTTCGCAGCGTTTGCCTGACGGAAGGCGAGCCGCGGTGCATTTTGGGAGCTCGGCGCTGCACTCGCTCCCCTGGCCTGGGGAGGGAAAGAACAAAGCGGGCAGGTGTGATGCTCCCTGCAGAATAAGACATGATTAGATGGAGAGCTCAACCCCTGGAGGAAGACGGCCGGGTCTCTGAGCTCGTTCTGCCATCTAGTGGAAATCACATTAACGTGCACATTAAGAGACCAAATAGGGATTCGGCTCCAACTGGACTTTCCTTTATAAATGGAGCGTGATTTTGTTCTCCCGGAGGATCCAAACGTTCACGAGGGATCGGCTCATTGAGGAGTTTAACATGAGGCAAAAGAGGAAATTCCACTTTCAAAAAACTGTTGTGGACCCTGTGATTGGCTGCGTGTCCAAATGGTTTCTGACTATGTCCCCTCAGCCGCCTCCCCATTAAACAGCCAACATGGAACATTAAAAGAGGTCACAGCTTTATTTAGAGCAGGAAATGCTGTGTCGACGGGGCACGCTGGATGAGTATCCGAGTCCCCTGTGACGAGTTCACATTACTCCTGTTTGACCACCAGCTGGCAGCAGAAGACTGTAAATGTACAAGAATTGCCTTTTATTATTACAAATGTATTAAATCAGTGCTGTCACATCACATCCATGTGAAATAAATTTAGTTTAGAGGTTTTCGAGGAATACTTTTCAGCCAAAAGATGTAATCACGTCATGTTATCTATGATATGAATCATTCAGGGTGACGATTTACAGTCTGGTTCCAGAACAATTAAAAATAACTCCCTGTTCTATTGATGAAAACCCCACATACAGGAATACTTAGTAAAGTGAAGCACTGGTAAAAAAAAGTAAGCCGACTTCCGGTTGGGTTTAGAGCATGGCCCCATTTTTAAAAATGTAAAATCTAAACATGCGGCTACCTAATGTGATACGTCTCGGTCAAAAGTACTGCGTGAACTGCTTTAAAATTTAGGGGCGCTATCGAGCCAACTTTCCACTCTGAAGCTTTAAAATCACACGTGATAACCAAATGTAGAACATTAAATGCATGTAAAAAAAATCAGATATGTGTTTGATGAAAAAATGTGATGGAAAAAAGTCAAACTATTAGGTCATAAAATGTCATGAAAAAAAAGTGTTTGATGGAAAATGTTGTCATTTTGAAAAAACGTAAAACCTCACATGCTCGATGGCCAAAACATTGCAACTAACAAAGAACTGTGACTGCAAACGATTCTGGGTTTCAGTTCAACCAACATTAGATTTCCACTAAGAAGGTTTGCACTTCATGCCGTAGCTGAATCCCAGTTGGGACTTGGAGAAGCACTTTGTCTGCTTTGTGCTCCCCAGGTACAGATGTTTCCTGGTGCTGGGGAGGACAAGTGTTTTTTGAATTGCTGCCACTGTGCTTCATCCAGTAAAGAAACTTTTAAACTGTGCTCGGACCACAAAGCTGACGTGGACAGAAGTGCAGGTGAAGCGCTGCGCCCTGTGTGCACGTAGCGTGTGCACGCCACGGAGTAACAAGACGCAATAAAACACTCCCGTGATCCCTGACAAAAGTACGGATAAACACAAATTCTTGACATTTGACTTGATTTGGAATGAGTGCAGTCACATGACATTTATTAAGCAGTAAAACAATGCATTTAGTAGATGGGACGGATTTGGGTTTCAGCCTGTGTGAACTTCCTCTTTTTTTCTCTCTAAATAAATGGTTACTGTACCAAACTGTTCCCCTTCTCCTTCTGACCCCCCTACCTCCCCCTCCCCCTCCCTCTCCCCCCCCCTTCAAACAATGGAACACAACTCGGACGAGAACCAGCTGCTCGAGCAATTACATTAATATCGGTCCCGGGGTTTATTGGTTGCCCGACCGCTCTAATCGAGTCAGAGGGAGCGAGGCGGCGCCTCTTCGTGACCGGCGGATCACCCCCCCACTCACCCGCCCCTCCCCCTTCCTCCCTCCTTCCTCCCTGAACCCCTCCGACCCTGAGCGGAAACCATTCTTCCGCCATCATTGTTGTCGCAGACAATGGCCCCCCTCCACCCGATACTTTAGTGTATGTTGGTAGCGCCCGAGCGGCCATTAATCTGGTGGAGAGAAGCGGAGTTTGTTTTCGGGGGGGGAGGGAAAGGGAGTCCCGAACAGGCCAGCCGCGGCAGGTTCAAAGCGGGAGCCGGGTTGCCGGGAGGCCGGAACAAGTTCGTTATTGTGTCACACTCTGTGTGACATTGTCCCTGAGGAACAGGTCATTCACCACTACTTGGGTGTGGGGGTTGTTTCCCCCCCCCCCCCCCCCCGAGTTGGGTTTAATATAAACAAAAAGGTACTAGCGTTTTATCGGTTAAGGGATTCGGATCGTCAATGACGACGAAGATGAAGATGGAGGGTAATATGTCCATTCATTGGTGTTCCGCGTGCACAGCCCTGCGTGTCCAGGAGTCCTGGTTGGTGTAACTGAAGAACAATTGGGCCAAATTTAGCTTAAATAGCGTCATTGAATGATGGATGAACTAGAGTCACCGCGGGCCCGATGGGATGGACTCATCCGCCAACCGCTTCCGCTGACACCATAATATCCGTTCACATTTTGCTCACTTTGCTCTCAAATCTTGCGGGTCTCTCTCAGTGGAGCTCCTCTGGACGCTGCCCCCTCGGCCCCCCTGCGGCCCCCCGGTGTCCCCTCTGAACCGCACGGCGGGTCCTCGTGACTCGGGTGACGCATGACCGCGGCCAAGCTGTAATAGTTCATTGGATTAACCGGTGGCAAAAAAAACCCGACACAAAATGATAACACATTTCCACAAAGAATGAAGTTTTGGAGGTGCTGCGGGGATCAACACGGTGACATCCGTCGCTGTTCTCCGGTTTTTCTCTTTGACAGATTCCCCAGGTAACGAAACTTGGTATCGTACCTTTTCCAACAGTCGAACAACACGAGCAGCTGATTATTCTGGAGCCAATTTATAGTTTATTATGAATAATGATTGAGTGGTTGATTGTGGGGGGGCTTGATGTAGACATGGCTGAGGACCAGTGGGGTCTATAGAGATCGATCGGGGTCATTGGTTGTTTTAATGCCCCTTCAGAAGTCGACTCATAAAAGCGAGTGTTCAGTCAATCGAGGAAACACATTTGAATTTTCGAAATATCGGCATCTGTTCTCGTTTCTGGATTTAAAGGTCGTCATGGTTGTTAAAGGTCGTCGTTGGTTGAGTGTAATGTAATAAAAGCTCTTTTAATGCCGGTCTTTACGATACGAGTGGGAAACATGACATAACAGTTTGCTCAAGGTACTGTTTTTTTTTTTATTGCAACAGCAGAATCATTTCAAGTGATCACATCACATTGACCCCGTTTTCATTATTTTGGCCATGAAAGAACCTAAGAAAGACTCAAAGTTGTGCGTGTGTGTTTGTAATGGTGTAGAGCGTAGAGTTCCTGCAGTAGCAGGAACGTCGCGCCGTGACATGACAGCTGTGGCATTTATGCTCAAATGAACCCAATATGTGATTCCATATTCAATTCATCTTCTAATAGGTTTCAGCATTTAGTCTTTAACTGTTAGTCTGTATTTCCTAAAGCACGAGGGGATGCGAGTAAATTGCTTAAACAAGAAACGACTTTCATTTGAATGTGGTCCTCAAACGGTCACCGAATGATGGTCAGGATTTGGGACTGATGCATAAAACCAGATAGGAGGAGGAGTTCGGATGTGCTTCACGTCTCCATCTTCATTTTAGAGACACAATCTGCAGATAATGTGCAGGATTTTCACCACGAGGAGACGTGATGGAGGTTCACTGTGACTGCACACCCAACATACCCGACTCGCTCCTTCACAGCGAGAGATGGAGGGATGGAGGAAGGGAGGTGGAGTGTGATGCGTTTATTGACCTCCAAGCCATTTGGGACCTGACCTGTGAAAGGTTGTCTGGAGGTTGTCATGGCGAGTCCGCTCCTGATTGGCTGCACACCACTGCGCCATCACCACCAGCAGCACCACCAGCAGCAGCAGCAGCAGCACACATGTTGTCCCCTCAGCGGTGGAGTTACCGCAGGAGTCGGAGACATCTACTCGGCCCAAACATTTCCCTCACGGCTCGTCTGAGTGCCGCCGCTGTGCTGTAAACACAGAGGCCGTGATTTAGGGTCCCGGAAGAGGCCTCCGTCCTCGAGGCCGGTCCGCCCCCCCCTCCGCTCCCCCATCCGCTACGGCGCTTTGCTCCAGGGAATGTGCTCCTTCAGGACGACAGTCACTGCTCAAGTCCGACTCTTAGAAGGTGCCGCCTGCTCTCGTCCAATCACCACGCTGCACGGTGGACGCTACCACCGCTTGGGTCACCTTTTGTGGTCGAACAAACCTCTTACTTTTTGGTATTGTTGACCTGCCGCGAATAAAAAGGAAAGTCCTGTTTTTAGATTTTACTGAAGACTCATACAAAGTCATTGAATGATTCAATCAAATCAGCGGCCTTATAAAAACATAATTTGCTCCGGGTCTCGCTGCACAGATGCCTGTAACCTGCCCGTGTGTGTGTGTATCTTCAGCTTAATTTCCCCCCCCCGACACGAAGGGAGTGAATCAATCCTTCTCCGGCCTGTGACCTCCGGACTACAGGTGACTACGGTTTTTACAAAAAACATTAGACACACAAATCTATCCAACAATGTTTATTCATTCTTTGGGACCGGACAGATGAAGACATGAGACGGTATGAATATCAATTGCTTTTTTTCTTTTGTCTTCTCCGAAACGAGAAACACGCCGATTGGCACTTCAGTGGAGTTCAGACGTCTTTCGTCTTGCGCAAAGCGTTTAAAAGAGAAAAGAGCTGCAGATGAAAGAAACAGGTTGAGTTTTATATAACAGTCCAAATGTTCTTGTGTCAAATTGAATAACAATTACTGTGTGGAAATCTGTAAGTGAATTCAAGTAATTGTTTCTTGCTGGTTATCAATACCTTGATGTAGACCACCACCCCAAAGAAAGTAGGGCGGGGCAATGTGGCCTGAAAAAATGAAAATCTAATCCAATTTAGCATTTCAGTCAATTTGTTTTTTCTTTTGTAGAAGCAAATTAGGTCACAAAAGAAATGTGAATCATTAACTTTGCTCAAACAGAAGATGCGTCTACGTATTTGTGTCCCTGAAGAAGCCAGAAGATCAAACAACTGGCATCAAAAACGCTTCGTAATGTTTCCCTTCACTTTATTTTATTTGGCCTCGTCCTCCTCAAACGGGGAGCTAAGAGGAAATGATTCGTTGCGTCTGGAGCCGCAGTTCCTTCTAGAACAAACGCGGCCGCGTTGAATAGTACGACGTGTTGGCAGTGGAAGTGAAAAAAAACAACCTTTTTCATTTAAAAAAATTCCTGTGTGATTTAAACATTTGAGGAGCTTGATGTGCCGCCCTGCTCTGGTTTAAAGGCAGCAGTTGGCAGCACTTACGCCACATTATTTTCTCTGAGTACTCGAGGTGCAGGTTTCATATCTTCTGTATGCAGCTGAATTCTTCTCACTATTGCAGGTGGAACTGCTGATAGAAACGAGTGGGCAGCGGCTCACATTGACACACAGTAACATGATTGGTTGTATATTCATCAAAACTACGTACAGCACAAATACAGGCTTGTAAATGTATAGAAACATTATTTAAATATATTTTTTTCTTTCTTTCAAGCCCACTTGCGGTTTACTAGCTACACCTTGCTGATGAATTCTTAGTTGTACAACCTGCTCACTTCATGGATGTTTACGGGTGACTTGGAGGCTACATTTTGTGGCGCTGTAGAATTGGATTTGGTTACTACAAAGTGTTTCATTGTGCAAATAACCTCCCCGTGAACATGGATATAAACAACATAAATGGGAAAATAAAGGCCAAACTGACCATAACTGTGAATCAACGTGGAACGTTGCGGCCTTCCTGAAGCCTCGTTTGTCGTTGGCGTACTTCATGGACCGCCGTGTAGATCATCTCGGGTGTCAACGCGTCGCTGATCATTCCGGAGCGTCTAGTCACTTTGTTATTGAAGGTAACTTCTTTTTTGTTGTTGTTCATTTGAAATAAAAGACACAAATGTGTGGACTGTTACGAATAAGAATAAGTGGGGAAAAAGCTTTTTAAACGACCGTTTGAGAAAACAGCAACGTGAAATCACAGGTGTTATTATTACTCCCAAGTTCACGTCTTTTCCCCCAACGTCTTCTCAACAGACCTGAGTTTAAATTTTTACAAAGCGGTTTTTGTGGGACCGCCGCCGAAACACCCCCCCCCCCCCCCCCCCCCCCCTAACCGCAGGAAGTGACCTTTGCATTGAAGGCTGACTAACGGACCGGGCGGTGGAGTGAAACCAGTCTAAATGACCTCCGGTCCACAGTCTGTAAGCCGCCTCACGTCCAACGGAACCGGAACAATCGCATATCGGGGAACGACAACGGGCTCGTTTGGTTGCTTGGTTGGTCGGGGCAAAGAAATCCCCCAAAATCTGTCAGCGTTTGACGGCTTGCAGAGCGCTAAAAGGAGACCTTTTCAAAAAAAATAAATACCCGTTTCCATCGGTGGAGCAATCAGAGCATAAGACGGACGGAACATGTCCCCCAGGTGAAGTGCTGGTTGTTGGAGCCCTTTACGAGGGCGGTCGGGTTTCCTTCTCGGGCCGTTGAGGCTCCGCCCCCTCAGACGACTTGAATACATTCTATTATCAGAACGAGCCTCGTTATCTACAGATTAAAAAACAGAACCCGTCTCATTTCTCCACACATGTTCATAGATCTCTTTATAAAATAAATCTTATATGTCCAAGTATATAATAATAAAACGATGCACTCTGCAGAAAACAAACCTAACAGGAAACTCCATATATACACACAGGGTAGCATTTTGGCAAACGAGAACACAGACAGTTTGTAAACGGACCCTTTTTCTTCTTCTTTACACCTTTCGCTCCTTCCGTATCGTTACATTCAAAACTCCAGAAAATTGTGCTTTAGGAAATCTCCTCCGATAACCCGAGGGGGCCTTCCCCCCGCCCCCCCGGTCCGCTGAGGAGAAGGACGCAGTCTCCGGACAGTGAGGTCGACGTCTTGAAGGATCTCGTGGCTGGTAGTTCGATCGGCTCTCCCAGAAAGTATAACTGGGGGAGAGGAATGGGGGGGGGGGGATGTACGTCTGGCACTTTGATAAAGGTCTGGTGTGCGTGTGTATGTCGCCTTTGGGGTGGGGAGGGGGGGGGTTGTGGCATTTTGCATTGCCGATCACAATGCAGAGGTCACAGCTGGGATTTTAGAGGGGGGGTTACGGAACGTACAACATGTGGAATGTGGGGAAAAAACACTGCCGTGTTTGCGAATAGAGCGGCGAAGCAGAACGTTTGTCGTGGGAGGAGGGGGGTGGGGGGTGTGGAGGGTCTCTAGTTGTCATCGTCGCTGAGCTCCTCCTCCGCCGTGGCCTTCTCGGGAATGGCCTCCAGGCTGCGCCTGCTCTTGGACTCGGGGCCCCCCGGTGGTCCGCCTTTGCTCAGGTTGCTGGTGAGGGCGGCGTAGTGGATCTGCTTGAGGTTCTCCTGCACCTCGTTCCTCGCGTGCTTCAGTAAGTCTAACTGGCCCTGGGGGGGGAGGGGGAGATCAGAGTTGGAGCACAGTTTAAAAAAAAAACAACTACATTTGTAGCTTGTGGTGCTGCTGGTCGAGGTTCCTGCTGAGAGGCGAGCAGGATTTCCGAGTAGCCGACCAGCCGGCAGCGCGTGACGAGCTAATCTGGTTCCAAAAACAACAACAACACGGCAACACAAACCACGACCTACTTTACTGTGAGGTCTGTATTGCTAGAATACAACCAAAGACTCACTATCAACATGCTTTAATGAATATGGATTTTATTTCATATGCTATACAAGTAAAATTGTGAAATAATTGAAGCAAACTAAAAGTAAAAACCGTACAAGATGAAAGTAGCTTGGAAAGAAAAGACTCAAGTAATAAGTAAGTGAGTCCCTTGTACTGAAGGAACAACCCCCACGATCACCGAAGGCAGAGCTCACCTTCAGTATGGTGATGTTCCAGGTGAAGCTCTCCACCGCCTTGTGCAGCTTGCGCCCCTTCAGCCCCTCCTTCACCGCCGAGTCGTGGATGTTCTCGTGAAACGCCATCGCTGCGCGGGGAGAAAGCAGATCAGAGTCAATCGCTGCGGGCAGTTCTTTTTTTTTTTATTTGCGAGGCGGCTGAAGGCCGGCGAGACGCGACCGAGGCGCCGGGGCTCGTTGTCACGGCGAGGAAACTCATCGCAGCGGAAGCACTGGCACTTCCTGTCAACATTTCACAGACTCCTTCTGCAGCGGAGGGAAGCACAGAGGCCCTCGGGCTGTGGAGGAGGATTCCTCCCTGGTTACAGTGTGTGTGATGTCAGCTGCTACACGTCAGGTCTGTGGGGAGAAAAGTGCACGTTTCTAAACCAATTAAGGAGATAATCTAAGGATTCGATGGGAGAAGTTTAACTGTGCAGGCAGCTGCCATGGGTGACTACAATGATTGAATCTGAATAACGTTTATTTTTACAGGGCGGTCCCCCTCCCCCAGAGACACCTTTGGTATCGAAAGTCCAAAAGCACGTGTTGAATGATGTAAAAAGTGACCGCGGGAGACAAAATACTGGTTAATCGGTATTTTAAAGGCAAATTTTAAAAAGGCACCTTGTAGGAAACAAAACGGCGAGTTGAAGGAAGCCACGAGGAAACCGGGAGAAAGGCAGCGTGGGCGACAGACATCTCGTCCTTTCACTGTGGATCAGCATCAAGGCATCCAACAGAGGAGGGACTTGTCTCCCGAGGAGCTTTCCCTCCCCCCACCCCTCCCCCTCCTCCTCTCCCTTTGCATGACCAAGTCTGACTAAGGACATGCTCAATACTGCGTTGGCTTTGCGGTGCGGCGACGGGGCGACCAGCCTGTCAGGTAAATAAGGGCGGAGATCCTACTACCAACAAACAAAGAAACCCCCCCGCCTGCGTAACGCACTTCTGCGCTGATGGTTCCTAGTGAGCGTGCACACGTTTCTGCGTGAAGTTCAGCTCACCCCGGCCCCCTGGTGCTGCTGTTGCCATGGAAACGCAGCGTGCAGACGAGAGACCCCCCCCCCCCCCCAAATGGCCATACTAGGTGTTGGGTTGTGCTGATCTAGAGCCGCTCAGCTGAGCATTCAAAGTGTGAATGTAACACACACTCGCACGTCTTTATTTTCAGTTTGCTATTCTGTAACTACAGCGTGCACGTGAACATGACTGTGCTAAAGGATGTGCAGTAAAGCTTCCTTCTTCTCATTACACACACACACACACACACGGTTAACTCACACTAGAGGTTGCCTAGCAACATTTTATGGAGTCTGGCAGCAGGCAAGAAAGGGGGGAAGCTCATTCTCAGCACGGCGCTCCAGATCCTGATCTCTGAGGTAACGCTGCGAGACGACGACTGGAGAAGGAACGAAGGCGAACTGAGAGGCGGATGATTGTATCTAATCACACTATATTCAGACTCGGGACAATGTGGACCCGCTGTAAAATATGCCTGGTTTAAACAGAAAAAAACGATTTTTGCATGACTGAATTTATTTCAGAATCAATGTGATGAGATACTTCAGGTCACTTCTTTTGTCCGAAACTCCGCAAATCCATCATTTAAGTCAACAAGCATGCCAACCCTGAGTTAGGGGACATCATATTTTATGAGCATGGAATTTCTTTTAATTAACCATATGCACTTATATGCTTTGTAGATTTAGTGTGGTAGATATATCCCTCTATGATGCCCCGCTCTCATATGTATCTTCGGTTGTTGCAGCTCAGTGTTTCAGGCATGTTAATCAATCAGGGGTAAAAAATTGAAAAAAAAAGATGAGGAGACGTCTTTATTTAAGACTCAACCTGAAGGCGGCTCACTGTCAGGGAGCCTCCCTGTGGAGGCCGCAGCACACCTGCTGTCACACTCGGAGACAGACGCTTGAAGAGGGGAACGTCGCTCTGAATGCAAAATGAAGCAATTCATCAAGCATCATAAACGCAGCCGGATGGTCTCAACTCTAACAATAAATACAACGTACAGCGCGAGAGGGAGGCTGGATCCTTCGCGTCCCTGCGTTGCCCTTTTTACTTTGTTATCGTCCTCCACCGGTTAACGGCCTGACGTTACCGTCTGTTGTGTCTGATGTGTGTCATCAGAGGTGCGGGTCTGCTTCGCTTTGTATTCTGCAACGTGTCGCCGCGGCTCCTCGGCTCGATGTCGCACTCTGGAACATCTCCTGCCTGATGGTGTTAGTCTGCGGCAGGTTCCATCCATCCGCCCTGAATGCTAATTGGAAGGTGCCGGCTGCCCTTGTGTGGGTTTGTCTTTTCTGAGGGGAAACTGGGTCCCTTCTGAGCCGATGCGATTAGATTACTCGCAACTTTAATAACTGTTGCTGCTGAAACATGCTGTAACGAGGGGGGGTTGGGTTCGCGGTGACCCAGTTTCTACCGAACAGATGCACATGTAACCGTGCCACGCGCACACCTTCAAATACAAACATGCACCCGAGCGCGTGCACACGCACCACTGGGGACAACAAGCAGTCAGTTTAGGATGGAAAATGAATAAAAGTTCATGAGTCTTGCCATCTGTTGTGTCCTAGTTTGCAGTTGTCAGCTGTCCAATTACCTCCATCTGATTTTAGACAATCGGATATATTGGCACTTTGGACCAAAAGCCCAACGAAGCTTTTGAATAAACAAAAACAAAAAGAAAAGGTTTGGTCCACTTGAGCAATTTCACTGCAGTATTCGTTCAAGAAAAAGAAGGGCTCACGGTCACGAGTTACATCGCAACCTGCTCGGTTTCAAATGCTCAACTCATCCATCGGGGGGTGAAGCTACAACGTGGAAAAAGATCTGACAATGTCTGAGCGACCTCGCCTTCATGATTAAACATGAAACGTGAATCACATCTGTGAGCCTCGTGGAGGACGAGCAACGGGCAGAACTCACCCGGGTGACAGTGCACATGTGCTCTGTGAATCAAACAATGTGTTGAGCCCACACGCGTTGTGAATGATGACTGCAGGTCAGTGAACAGCAGGTGGTCTTCACAACAGAGGCTGTAGAGATGAACAGGGTCATTACCGTGAGTAACGGTACCGCTCACTCACTTCACACATTAGCCACCCAAAAGCCGGAGCCGAATCCAATCCAAGCGGGAAAAAAAACAAAAAACTCCCAGCTGCTCAGATGTGAGCAGAGGCGTCGGAGCATCTTTCTGAGGCCGGTAAGCTCAACGTCACTGCAGGTCTCCCCCCAAAGCCACATGCTGCCAATTGTTAGAGGCTGGAAGGTAGAAAGAAAGAGCGCAAGCCTTTGATCATCCCGTTGGTTAAGATGCAGTCCTCTGCTCTGATGTGCGAAGACAAAAGAAATTGAATATTTTATAAGTCCATCCATCTGGAAAACAATAAAGCTGCGCCGTGGTAATGATGGTCAGCCGCCCCCCACCCCGCCCTTCCACTCTCACTCAGCTCCATCATTAATTAGCCTTCCATGCTACTTAGATGGAATTGAGGGCCAGAACGTGGTGCATTTGAATAAAGCCCATTCATGTCTAGACATGTGTTAGCCCAGTACGCCCGCATAGTGTGCGTCACCTTGTTGACATGACAGGACAATCGTCCCGGAATAAAACGATTGACCTCAGATATCGCAGCCAGTATATTCTTAAATCTAGCGGCACAGCGGCCAATCGAACCAGGAAAGCTGAGCAGAGTCACTTCACCACACCACTCATTCTGTTACTACAGGCACACACACATTGTACACACACACGTACACACACACACACACACACACACACACACACACACACACACACACACACACACACACACACACACACACACACACACACACACACACACACACATATACATTGGAGTCTTGCTGGTATTTAGCATCTGGTGGAGGAGAACCGCCAGCTTTGGTAGCTTTGATGTCGTCCAGTCCCCTCGTCGGTCATCTGTCTGAAGCCTAAACCCGACCTTGTAATTAGAATGCCGCGCAGAGGCGTTTACCGGTGTGAATTGAACAGCCCGGTCTGAACCGGAGCCTTTCAAAAAAAGGGGAAGCAGTGACTGGATCACGTACTTGAACATGATTCAAATGGTAATTCCACTCATCCAAATGAGAAAAGCATAATCAGGCCTATCGAATTTCCAAATTGAGTGATCTGCGTGGTGTGGCTTCAGAGAGATGGCCGAGGCTGCATTCAGGAGCCGCCTAATGGGGTCAGAGAAACAGCCTTTTGTAGTCCTCCTTCCACCATCCAACCTTCCCTTACCGGCTTTTTGGGTTTGCAGAATCCTCTCGTAGACCCCCTCGTAGCTCTCCAGCAGAGTCTTGCTGGTCTGGATCACCTGCAAGCAGACAAAACATTTTAGTTTGTATTTGGTTTTATTTTCCACATCAGAAAAACTGGAATCCCACAAAAAAAAAAGCTTTCTGTGTCTGTTGGCCGGGTATTTCTATCTAGGGAGGGCTCCTAAAAACAAGCTGTTATTACAGGCACGTCGGTGGGCGTGGCCGCAGAATGGCATTCTTTTACAAAGCCAGAAATAGAGGGAAGGAGACACGAGCAATTGTGGTGTTTTTCTTTTCCCCCACTGGCGATACGCTGTACCTTTGAGTCCCGTTACGTGGTTTATAAAATGCTCCCGGGGGGGAAAAAGCAAAAGCAGGCAGAGAATCAAGGTCACACGACTACGAGGAGAGAGTCGACGTAAACACGCGAGTCACTGTGTTGCCGACCGCTGCCGTGTTATCTGTAAAATTGCAGCTGTGAAATGAGCAAAGTTGAGCTCCTTTGGCGTTACGTCCCCCCCCTTAATTGAGTGCACAACCTCTGGTGACCTGCAGGCGGTTCGATGTCTCACGGTGCCTCTTAAAAACAGACTCGGAGACTTTAAAAGGAACTATTTGCATATTGAATGCTGCCCCATCCCCCCCCTCCCTCTAAACTACCATAACACAAACGCTCGCTTCCTTACACAAGGTTATTGATGCGTTTGTAGCCGCCTCACAGGGAGGTAAAGAAGCACAGAGTGAACGCGGCTTGGTCAGACCATCTGGAGCTTTCTACTTCAATGAGCTTGGTAATAGCGTAAACGTTTTCATGTGACACACACACACACACACACACACACACACACACACACACACACACACACACACACACCCAAAATAATGCTCTGCCATTGATTTCAATTTGCGCCCCGCCGGGCACTGGGGCCTTTGTGTGCGCGGGATCGCTGTAATTGAGTTTTACATTTAGTCGTACACTCGCTAAGTGACTTAAGTGGGCCGCGATGTCGGAGCCGGACCGCCCCGCTCTGCTCTGCTGCCAAGACAGAAAGGGAGGAAGGAAAAACTGTTTTAATTCAAGCTCGATGGAACAAAGCCGCGCTAGAAAGAAAGAGTGATGGAGGTCATAGCCCAAAGATCGATCCCTGGAGAGGACCAGCTCTGGCCAGCGGGAGGAGAGTGACCGAGTCACAAATTTAATTTATTATTTATTTTTCTTACCGACTAATTCCATGGGAAAAAAACAACAACATAAAAACAACAACTAAAGCCCGATATCCCTCATTCCTGATTGGCGTAGAGCAGCAACGTATAAATGCATGAGGCGCGCTGTTCTTTCCTGCCTGCGAAGGTTTTAAAGTGATTACTGAGCCTTTTTCAATCAGTATAGTGTTCATCTGTGAGCGATTTTTAAAAAGATTTATGTTGTGTCAACCGACGAGGTCAAGGTGGGTTTTAGTGCCTTCATTTGATTGGATGCAACGTGTCCAACTGCCACACTCACACAGGCTGGAAGGTCATGTGATCGGACCCAACGTCAGCGGTACACTTCCCTGTCAACGTCTAGATCCGTGGGTCACTAGTGACGGCGGAGCCACCGTTACATAAAGTCCCGCCCGCCTGATGCGGCGTACCGTACCGGGAGCGGAGCGATGGAGTGAATCACCGCGTTACACCCGGCGCGGTCATTAGCTGCGTCACTCTGCAGCTGCGGCACTTAGAGCTGTCGCGCACGCTGTGATTACTTCCCTGATGGGAGAAGAAAGGGCCGTCATGGTGGCCGAGGCGCCGTCTCAAACCTGTTTAAGAGGCACATTATGAGCCGGGGTTGGTGGGCCGTGGTTCCATTCTCTCTTAAGTGCCATGTGTGGTCATATCATTATCATCATCATCTGCATTTTTCTAAGATACAAATGTTTGTTTACCTATAAGAGGGGACGTTAGCTTAACGATGCCGTTATGCAGGCCACTAGTAAAGAGGATAACACATTTTAACCAAACAGTAATTATGAATAGAGGAAATATCAAAGATATGCACACAATAATACTACATAGAACTAGTATTCAGAGTTCCAATATATTAAAGATCAAAAGAATAAATCATTTCTTAGTGTTAATCCAATCAGCTGTGGGCTTTGTATTCCCACATGTGTGCATTACTTCCTGTCTTGGCATTGAGTTCGTTTGTTGTGATATGAAAGTTGAAATCAGAGTATGTCAACACGCTGGCATTTCTCCACTTTTCTCTCTGCACACAAATGGGGGTTTGGGGAGTGAGACCCATATTTTATTTTTGCCAATTAGGAAGCGAGAGCCCAGCTACTCCCTGTGGTGGATTTTGACACAGTGCCTACATCTCTAATTGTAGTGATCCATACATTATTTACATCTCTCTGAGCATCGCCCTCCTTTCATTGAAGTTGGTCAGCTCCTTCAGCTGTGCACCTTCCTTTCCTCCGTCTCCTCTTTCGCTCTGCAGACCGCCGAAGCCTGCAGCTTCCCACCACTTAAGCCTGCGCTCTTATTTTATTTGATTTCGGTCCCCAAACACTGTTCATTTTCTCCTCTCTTCCCTCCAATTCAATTTTCCAGGCCATCCTTCCATCAAGTCCAATTAAGTAGCCCTCTACTCCGAAGTCTGAATCCATCGGGGAGGGGAGGCGGGGGGGGGTCACCTTCCGTTTGAGGCGTTACAGCATCGTCCCAAGGGATGAAGTGCGCCATCATTCTTTTTTTGTTTCTTGTTGGGGGTTTTTAAACACCTTTGGATCGAGACGGCGAGTCTTTATCTCTGCTGTAAATTTGCTTTGTGTTTGAAACCGACATGCAGGGGATTCAAATTGAGATGGTGCACTGTGATCCTGCCTGAAAAAAACTAAACGTGAAACCATATTTTCGCAGTCAAACAAACAACTTCTGCCCGTATATTTTTTTTTGAATCACGATGGAAAGTTGACTTGGCTCGTGGTGGGCTGAGAATCAATGGAAGAGAACACGACGTGTGCAGGGTAATGGCGTTGTCCGGGAATAGCCTGAATGGCATGTTGCATAACTTGTGAACATTGATTGTATTACTTAACAGAGCTCCAGCCATGTAACCATCCCTGAATGCCCCCATTAAGTCTAGTAAAGCCAATGTATTGATTGGATTGGATCAAAGCGTGTTACGGTCTTCTTTACTCTTTTGGTGTTAATGGATGGATGCTGTTGATGAGCAGAATTGTTGTGTCAGGTCACGCATGCGTTTCTTCATCTTTTCTATGTTTCGTAGAGATACTTCCCCGATCCCGCCTGTAGCGTACTTCCACATATTAGACTCACCGTTTCATAGGTGGTGACTACTTTCTTGAGGACCTCCGGCAGCAGGCCCTGGGGCTCCAAGTTGGGGTACTGGTCGGCGAGGTTGAACACCAGAAGGGGGCTGTTGTCGGTTCCGGTGAGTCGAGGAGAAAGGGCCAGGATGCACTGCTTCAGGTTGGCCACCGCTGAAAGGCCGCACAGCTCTTTAAAGGACACGATAGCGTTCTGCAGAGAGAGGAGAGGAATAATAACAGAATACCGATCGGTCAATGAGATGCTTTCAATATTTAACCACAACCCCACATAGCAGGAAGGAGAAGCTGGGAACTCGCCACCTGTGAGGGCTTTCATTCTGGCACTCGCCTGCTTCTCACAAACACTCAATCATTTTGGTCTGACACCAGTATCACACGGGAATGGAACAAACACACACACACACACACACACAAACAATCAAATCCTACCCTTCCTGTGAAAGCCCTGATTTAAACCCTACATAAACAACCGGAGGGACAAACTATGTGTTATAGTCTCAAGGCCAGAGGCTTGTTATCACACAATGACGGCAATATAAACAGACCTACTGACATAAATCCTCATACAATGGCTGAAGAAACACAACTTAGTGCTGCGATTCTCATAAAATGTCAATGTCACAAATAGATGTGATCATGAGGAGACGAAGTGATGGTTGGAGTGGCCGAGCTCGGTCAGCATGAGACAGGATTAAAGTGACATCGGATTGGTCTCGACTTGGCGATATTACAAAGGCAAGACATTTGGTTCAATTATTTTAACAGCCGGCTAAAAGACAATGCTCATCCTTGTTTGCGGCTGTAAGAATTTTAATATACACAAAAATCCACCATTAAAACAGGATCTCATAAAAATGCTTGCCAACTTTTTCTCAGCGATTGTTTTGAATATTGCACAACAGGTCAAATCACATCAGCTTCAGTCGCGCCTGGTTTGTGTTTCTCTCTCCAGAGCGGGAGCCTTTTTTTCTTTTTTAAGACCCTAAATCTGCTTTCATCTACTCGGGGTCACAATTTCTTCCGTCTACTGTCTCTCACAGAAACACATTCCCATGCTGGAAGACGGGAGCGGCTCTGCACTGCAACACATCAGAACGACTTTGAACTGCTCACCTGCATGTTTTCTCTGAGGTCCGTCGCCTCCCTCAGCGGCAGCATGGCGGTTTTGAAGACGTCATCCACAGCCTTGATCAATAGTACTCTCATGCTGGCGTACTCCCTGCTCCTCTTGCCCTTTCGCACAGACAGCCCCCTTTTGTGTGGTTTGCCGCCTCCCCTTCGATTGGTTATGGCCACGTGGACAAACAGCAAGGTGTGCGGCAGCACCTCGCCGGTCAGGGACTGTAGCGGCACGTGCCGAAAACCCGGCTGGAGGCACTCGAAGGGGATGGTGTACTGGCCGATGAACTCGTCGCCGATGTAGTCGTCGTCCAGCACCACGAAGCGCACCATGGCGAGCTCGGGGAGATTTATCTGGAACTCAAAGCTCTCGTCGAACAGAGGGTTCTCTCCGTTCTGGTTGACCGTTTTAGTCCTCTGCTCGCCGCAGTCGGCGGGAATGCCGTGTATCTCCACGTACACGTACGGGTCGACCACATCTCCTTTGGCGCCGGAGCCTTTGGGTTTGGGGAAGTTTTGCCCACTGATGATCTTGATGTGCAAGAGCTGCGGGGAAACACCGGGAACGGAATCCTTAGTGTTGGCGCTGAAATACGACACGTGCTCCCTCATGATGGCCGGACGCAGCACGTAGCCGCAGCTCCCGTTCTGCCGGAACCAGCCGATGTTCAGGTCCATCATCAGGCCGGGGGTCTGGTAGTTCATCGCCACGATCTGGCAACCGCACTTCCAGAAGTCTTGCGGGTTCATGTTGCTGGAGTCGATCCGCATGGGGCTGGGATAAACCCGCGCGAGGTACTTCTTGTTGTAGTTCACAAAGTCGCCGGGGAAGTCGCTGGCGCAGCGCGTGGCAAAGACCTCGTTGAACGAGCAAAGCTCCCACTGCTTCTGGCTCTGGAAGGACGTCGGGAAGTCTTTGAACTCCACGGACTTGCACAGGGTCACCAGATCGGAGAGGTCCTTCGACAGCTGGAACTTCTTCGGAGCGACCGTCTGTGGTTCCGCCGTCTCGATGCTCATCCTCTGAGACATTTCCGCCCCCTCGTCCTCGTCCGTCACCTCGCCTTCCGAAGCGGTGCAAGCGGTGCTCAGCTTCTTACCCTTCAGCAGGATCTTTCCCTTCAGCGCCAAGGGAGAGGGGAGGTAGCAGTCCTCGGGTTTGGGAGGCTCCACGTGGATCTTGTCTCCGAGGATCTTCTTCAGGTGCTGAAACATGACCCTCTGCTGCTGCAGCGAGCAGTGGTTTTCTAAACACAGCAGCAGCGGGAACTCGGACGCAACGAAGGCATACTTGTTGAGGGCGTCGATGACGCTGCGGAAGACGATCTGCGACGTCATGGTGTGACCGGTGTAAATGACCGGTTCGTTATCGGGCCCGTCCCAGACATCCAGCTCCACGCTGCGGCAGCCCATCTTGAGGGCACGGATGTAGCCCGTCACATCGGAGGGACCTCGGAACTGATCCTCTATCAGATACGTGTTGTGGGACGCATTGATGTAATAGTGGGACATGGGCTGGTTCATGTCTTGGCAAACGGTTTTTTGTTCGGGGTCGAATAGTTGGCACTCTGGAGACATCAGATAGTTGGTGAAGCCATCGAGGGAAAGCCAACCCTTGAGCTGGCCCTCTTTAGACGGTTCGTGTTTCTGAATGACCTCCAGGCTGGTGTCTTCGCTGACTTGTGCCGTCCCCTGCTCTGCCTCCAGGAATATCATTAAGTCCTTGGTATCCAGAAACTCTTTGTTGCTGGAGAACTGAACAAAGAGAAAATAGATTTCTGGTCTGGTACAAAGATCATGAAAGACCTCAATGAACTCCTCTTTTGTTATGTCGCATCCTGCTTTGTCCTTGGCTTTGTGGAGCTCTTTGAACTTCAGTTCTATTTTCACATTTTTAAGTCCGGGGTTCAACTTCTTGACTAGCTGCACGGCAGCACATAGCGATATTTTTCTGCTGTTGTTCCCGCCCGCCTCGTCGAACAGCTCACCGAGCCACGATGACCGCATGTTGTTCTGAGTGCTTTCGATCATGTTCAAGGTGTGTTTCCCATAGGAGATCAGGTATCTCAGCCCCGTCACCCAGATGTTGGCCACATCTGCAGTGTTTGCCACCAAGTCCAGGGACTCGTAGTTCTCCCCGAAGATGATGGAGAAGGCACTGTCCTCTGATATCTGATCATAGGTGCCGTTAGTTCTAAAAGTGTCTGTGTTTTTGCCTGTCCGCACCTCCTTAATGGATTTCACATCAATTTTGGCCTTTTCTGATTCCTTCTTGGTGGGCTCCCATCTCAGAGACTGCATGTCGGCGTCCAGGAGGAAGTAGCGGTGGTAGACGCGGGAGTTGGATCGCACTTTCTTCAGCTCAGAGCCGTCCACCATGGCGGCGATGCAGTCGCTCGCACTGCTGATCTTCTTCTCTGTGGGCATGCTGCTGAACGACACCGTCTTCTTTCTTTCTTTACGCTGTCTTGAGGCGTCCTGCAGATAAACAGAACACAGAGCATGAATAAAAGTCTTTCTGTGGATACCTAATGGTTAAGTCAAAACAAAAACATCAAGGACGTTGAACTTGATTTTGTGTTTCAGCTTGACGGACTTTAATTAATATGAGAGTTCTATAGAGGCTTTCTGACAAGAGTTTCACATCATTACCTTAAATAACCTTTAGCTTAGTTACCACATCAGTTACTTTTTTATACCCAACTTGTGCATATGCAATAAAATCTGAATACGGGCATTCCCCCTTTTTGCCATCAGCTAAATAATCATTTCACCCAGATATCTTTATAGCAGGATTCAGGACATAATGTATTTTTTCTTCTTCTAAACATTTGCTGAGCCGAATCCCTACAGCGACTTTGTTGGGTGACTTGAGGTACGTGTCACTGTGCGTTATGGAGATACAAGAGAAACTCTCGCCCACACAAACGCAGGCAACCACAACAATGGTCCCACTCTACACTAAAGCAATGCATCTTTTTGTCAACTGCATGATGCTGCCTAGTTCTTTTTTTTCCTCTTATTGCTACCCAAGCAGGAAACCGAGATCTTTTTTTTTGGTTGCGGTTTGCTGAAATGCACAAAACCCTCACGGCCTCTTATGTAATCAAACTGAAATGTGCATACGGGACAAACCGGCACACATAAACATCAGCGTCACAAACGTTGACGTTCAACAAACAGGAATGACGGGCCACGTGTACGGCTGACATCTAATGTATCGTCTGTATCCATCATGGAGCTTCCACACGTCTGACGTCTTCCTCCGTTCACTCAGCCGACAGCATTAACAATGAGAAATGTGACGACTCCGCACGTCACTTCGTCTCCTGTCTGCTTATGGTTTCCGCTATTGTCTCCCAATCCTTTCTTAGGTTATTTTTATTGTTCACTATCAAGACATCATTTTAGGAATAATAATGCTGCATGCGGCGAGAAACAGAAGCTTAGCAAAGTTCCACCCTCACATAGAAAACATCTCAGTGGGTGAATCTGAAATCACAAAAAAGGGCCAAATAACGTTACGTCTCGATTTTTCAAAAATGAATTAGCCACTGTAAACCTGTGAGTCAGAGCCTTGCAAAGCACAAAGACCGCCACGTTTCCCTTTGATGGGTAGAATATCTCCCCTCTCCATGTAAGGAACGCGCCGGGTCCAACGCAGGCATAAGAACCGCATTCTTTACCAGTCTGCTGCGCAAAGGGAGCTCATTCTACCAAACAGGAGCTCAGAACCCAAATGCATGACTGGAAATAATCCTTATGACCTGTAGAAGAATGTGAGCTAAAGTCACAGCTTACTGATGCATTGTGTCTGCTTCCTGCTGCATTACCAGGCATTCTTGTCAGGATTTCCCCTCGGCTTCCTTCACCTAAGCAAGAAAACAATACTGCCCACACCCATCTCTGTCTGAGCGCTTGTTATTACGCCCCGAGGACTCTTGCTTCTCCTGCAACGGTCCAGCTCTCTGGTGGAAGTCAGGCGGCACAGAGTGTTTTCTTTTGTAATTAAGACGTCTTGTATGTCCTTAAATGGTTCTTCAAAAGAGGAGATCTGCACCATCGGATTGTCGCAGTTCAAACAGATATGGCTTAATGGAGCACATATTCTTCTCGACATGAATATCACTTCTCTCCGTTTGTCGGAGGGAGTTATGATTGAGCTGATTTTTGTTCGCCAGGCCGAAGCGCAGCACCCAAATAGGCTTTAAAGAAGGGGGGGGGGGGGGTGGACAACCTGAAGAGACCAAGTACAGTCTGTGGCTCATCCTCGAACAAGACCGTCATCGTTCCTCCAGGTTCACTAGGTTTTCATGTGACTGATGGCTCTGCAGGATTCGTGCACCGTTGCGATCATTAGGGCACCATTACAGTGAGGTAGGGGGGCTGCGGAGGGTCAGTACATTTACAAACGCGGCACACGGGGAAGCTTTAGCAGCACCCGACCTTCCGGCACGCCGGAGTTACACTGCATTCAGCGACACGCTCTCCAAATTGTTTGCCAGCATGCCATTAAATATAAATTCAGTACAATTACAAGCCTCAGCACGAACAGCGCGTTCTCTCATCACGCGTGCAGCCCGCAGCAGCACGGAGCCAAAGCACTTCAAGCCACCAGGTGTGTTTCCAAGTACTCACTCACTTGCTTGAAAACACATGCTAGTTTTTACTTGCCAGGATGTTGCTTGATGGAGCATGCTCATCGGGGGGGTTAATTCATCCATTTACATTTTATTTACACTTAAAATATATTTTTTTACAGTCGATTGAGTCAGCTAAAATTTTAACAGCACCTTTGGTCGCTTGTTAATTGACCACGTTACGTTGCAAGTATTTGACAAATTAAGAGATTGAATTGGCAAATTAGTTCATTTTCATGTGCTTATGATTTAGAAAAGTGTTTTTCTTTCACAAAGTAAATACAGTCGAAGAGCAAAAAAACAAATGTATATAAAATTTATTTCACAAAAAAACTTTTACATTGTCGGTCTTTCCCCGAATAGTTTGTACCTGAAATAATTTAGCGACTCTGATTGCGAGTTAATACATTTCAGAGTAATGTTTGTTTTCAACGTGTGATTGAAAGGTTCAATTTCATAAGACACAAACAATCTTACGGAGGACACACTGAATGTGTCGCTTTGTGTTAAAACATTTTTAAAACCGCACTGCTGTGTGACGCTGTCACTTCTTCCGGGAAGCTCCCTTTTATTCGTATATGTCGTCGAGGGAATCGAAGTTAAAGTCTTTCTTTCATTGCAGAGAGAAAGTCTTGGTTCACCGTGACGCGCTCGTGCTCGTCATTCATTACCGAGTTCATTTTTCCCTTTAGTTACAGTATGTTCAGAGAACAAAACCCCTTAGCACGCGTTAGAACAAAAAACAAGAATATTGGATGATTTCACGGTATTTCATAATAAAGAGATAAAAACAAGGCGTATCCTCACTGGGGATATTATCGCCGTGCCGTTACACACTGTTGGAGTGTGAGTGGAGGAGACGGACGGAGAGGAAGAGACGATGAAACATCAAGTGAACAACTGGAGTCCAACGGCTCCGTGATCCCGCAGGAATCCGGATCCCCTGAAGGGGCTCAGCTCTTTTCTCAGACCGCGAAGAACCGTTACTCTCCGTTCTGTGTGCGTCACCAACAACAAGCGTCGGGACTCCCGATGCAGCAGCAAAAGGGTTCAGCTACGCACACGCATGGGCTTCCCTTCACAACCCTGCAAATCTATTCAATGGGGAGAATTTCATCAGAATGCAAATGTGCCACGGAAACCAGACTAGTAAAGACGTGGCTCCACTTCAAGCATAAAGAGAAAATCTCTTTTTAAGTCTACTGGCGCTAATAGTCCCATTCGGTGATCAATTATTTAGGCCGATTTATGATTACAGACAGCGTCTTTGTTATAAAGCTACAAGAACGAGAACACAGTCACAAACAGTCTTTCCGATGCATCGTGTCCTCTGGCACAAAAGAAACGCCACTATCAATATTCTGACTCTGGATGAGACCCAAGACTGCATTGAAGTCTCCTCCTGTAGCGCCCAAACAAGCTGAGGCAACAGCACGGTTACCTAAGAAGCTCGTACATATCCCACGGCTAACAGTGGGGTATGTTGCTTTTTTTAGGACCAAGAGTCCAACCGAAGAGTAAAAAACAAAACGGTTAGGAAGCTGGTCGCCACGAGACGTCAGTAAGCCTGAAAAGCTTCTCATAGCAGGATTTCACACTTTCCACATCCACCGCTTCTCTTTTTTTCTTCTTTAACCTACTGATGGTTGAATAAATCTCATGTTTCTCTATCGGTTTGGAGTCACAGCTCTATGCCATAAAATGTGAATAGGAAGTATTAAGGTACGATATATTCATTCTTGTTTGCTGTAATACTCCTAATTTCTGTCAAGTTGCGTCGTCAGGTTTATAAGGGCAGAGGATGGAAATAGATCCGAGTGTGAACGAGAGGGTAACGCTGCGACAGGAAGAGCCCCACAGGGACCAACGAGAACTAGAACAAGAGGAGCCTGGTGGAAACCCAGCCGGTGACGGCAAGGAGGAGGAGGCGCGTACTTAAAGAGAAAGTGACTGTGTGCACACAGCGGCCCCAAAAACCCTCAACATACTTCTTCTTTTTTTACAGCGACTTGAGACCATATGAATTGAAAATTGAAAAGACTGCTAGCTTGTTTTGTACGAGCGGTGAAAAGGCCCAGCTGCGTCTGTTCTGTACCGCATGGCATCAGTTGTTGGTCATCTCAAGTGTGAAGGAGGGAGCTCCCCGGAGACTCTATTCAACCATTTCCTGAACAAATAAAATGTCTTTGGAACAAGAAGATTGAGACAAGTCATCCGTCACTAGGGAGGCTGACGACAACAAAATATCTTCTTTTAGGATTCACTCGTGCTTTTATTTAATACCTTTATTCATGTATACTGACAATGGGGTTGTTGTAAGTATGTGTTTAAAAGTTATTGTATAGAGACAGTTTAAAGCCGCTGTTTTGCTATTTCAGTAATGAAAAAGGACTTCAATCCGAACACACCACAGATCACGAGCCCTGTGTGATTGGTTTCCCCTCAGGAGCCTCCACCTGAACATACAACACATATCAACATTCCGCAGTTGTCAAACAGAGCTGGAGAGAGAGAGACGTGAGGAGGAAGTGAAACATGCAAACAGAACAGTCACGAGCGTGACTCTTAATCACGTCGAGCTCCTTTCTACAGCGACTGAGCAGCAGGTGGAGAGCGAAGCGCGCCCCCCCTTCAGCCCCGAGCAACAGCTGACCGCCACTGAAAGAGACCAACGGCTGCCGCTCCCTCGGGCACGGACAGCAAAAGAGCTCTAACACACCTCCATTATATAACTCTATAATGCTGAAAATGATTTCAGTATTATACAGCTTATTTTCTGCTGTATCGACCAGAAGAAGAGCCGCGCGTAGCATGTGACTTCAATCCAAACCATCCATACACACTATGATCCATAAGCACTACTGGGCTGAACTGCAGGGCACGCTTACACACACATGAGCTCACAAAAATAGATTTTATCTCTGTAAAATAAAACAGGGGGGGATTTCTTATTGGACTGAAGTGGACTTAAATGCAGTTGATTGAACTCTATAATAACAGCTGCATTATGGGTAATCTGTTACATTAACAACACATACAAAAAGGTCCCACAAAATAGCTTCAAACAGAACGAGACTAGAAGGGAATTAGTTTGCTATTTTAAAACAGTTAGTTTAACTAAGAGGAGAAGACGAGTCAACGGTGGTCGAGCATGACATAAACACCATCTTATCAAGACAGCCGTATCACATATCAAAGCATTTTCTTTGTGCAGGAAGTTCTGTTCTGTCCATCCGGCAGAGATATTCTCGGCGTGGAAAGCTGCACAAACATTTATAAAAAGCAGATGTCAATTAACTTTGTGTTGATCATCAACTAATCATTGCAGCTTTAGTCCACTGTATTAACTGTTAAAGGAGACTTGAATCATTCTATGCATCAGCACTTCACAGCAGTTACACTATAAAATGTGCTTATCCAGAATGTGGTGAAGTGAGTTTTCGCGTGAAGGCAGTATTTTGAAGAAGCGTCGTTCTAGTCGTGACAGTCAGCCCTGCGTTTTCTCCCTACGGAGGTGATTCGCTCTGCGTCACCGAGAAACCTCAACGCAATCATCCATCATCACCTCGGCCTCTGAGCTGCATCAGCAACAATATCAGCAACAGTTACATCACCATTTGCGAGTAACTTAAAATTCCACCAACTTTAATAGAAGATTTGTTTTGCTGAACGAGCTCTTTCTCAAGTTATGTTTGTCGTTCAAGGCCACTTCAACAATATTTAGTGATTCCATTTCAGTCTTACAAGAATTCTTTGACTCATTTGTCAGTTTGATTGTACAGAAATAGCGAGGACTACACTTCCAATGAAGGTCTTTAGTAGTTTAGCATGTACACCAGTCATTATTTACCGCAATTCATCCGACTGCGGAATGGAAACGGGTGTATAGAAGCTATTTAAAACCCCATCAATGACATCATTAGCACTAACGGTGTGAAGCACAAAGGATTTGATGTGGAGCAGACATACGCTTCCCTTTTCACTGAAACTCACAATATAGCACGTTAACACTTCAAGACCTCAAGGAAAAGCACTCCAACACATTTAATTTATGTATTTCAAGTTAATCCACCAGATCACACCAACTTTTAACTGTTCCAAGTCATGAAGGCTGATTTAAAAAGGATCAGTACTATCAAACGTAAATGTAAGTAAGCACGATCGAACCCTTTTCGACATGTTTTCGCTCCTCATAAATCGTACAGGAGGTGCATTAAAAAAAGAAATCGGTCTTATCTTAGAGAAAGAACAACCAAGAGTGTGAAGGCTTCATTTAGCTTTCCGATGCCGTCACCTTGGAGCAAATGTTCTGTCGTCATTTTTTACGGATGCTAAACATCCAGCTCGTTAACCACATTCTGAGATCTTTATGAAACTAAAAATCACACTCACTGCTCCGAGTGATGCAGCCTGAAATGCCACTGAGCCCGACTGAATCACGCGACACAAGACGGCGGCTCCTGCGGAGAACCTCCAGCGCTGATTCCCCGCCGTGACTCGGTCCACGTCGCTCTCCCTTCTCGCGGCGGGGCATCACAGACCGTTTGTTTCCCTCTCCCTCACAGATGGAATGAGTCTTATTTACCCGGCGGTGGCAAATATGCCCTTTGTGCCGGAGCAGCGGAGAAGCAAAGTGGAGCCTCCTGCCACGGGCCACTAGCGTAGAACGGGGTCACAGGTCACTGGACGCCGTGCAGCCCGAGCATCAGCGTCACTCGTGACCCGGGGATACGCTGCTCAGGGCCTCATTCGGCGCTGCAGACTTGGTCTTTTTCAGATTTCAGTCTGCAGACATCTGGCCAGGCTGTAAATCTGCCCGTGATGGGGATGTACAGCTATGGAGGAGATGAGCAGACTCCCCAACGGAGGTGTTACTATAGTATTTGATTACTGGAAAGAGGTTTGCCTTCAAGTGGCACTCCACCCAAGATCTTTCTTTTGACTAGCGAGCATTCCCCCTGTGGAGGTTCAGAAAGGCGGCGGGTTTCGTATTTCACAGCGAGGATGTGGTCAGAAGTTGTGGTCAACTTGAAAACCCATCAGTCGGTTTAAATGGTTCCCAAAGGATCAGAACGTCCATAAATACATAACCAACCACTCCTGCACAACCCCCCCCCCCCTTTCTATTTCAAATCCCATGTTCAGCACGTCCCAGAATGCACTTACTGGCAAAAAGAAAATGAGTATTGGGTGGTGAGGGCTTTGTAAAGGCTCCTACCGGTGGGTGGGGCGAGGGGGAGGGGTGGCTTTTGGGTGGAGTGTCACTTTATGTGCGTAAGCGAGCAACCATCAAATTAAAGGATCTGCAAAACGTGCCATTTAATCAGGGACCGCGAGCTCCACGGCTTCTCTCCCCCGCCGACGTCGCGCACATGCGGTCTCCCCGGGGCAGTTTAGCCGCGCCGCCGGCTTGTGGTCTTAACCGCGCTCACGACTGCGCGCCCTCACACACATACGTTGTCGCTCAGCACCAACAGTATTGAGAGCTGTTCCTACTACGCTGCTTCGCCCCGACCACATCCTCCCGTCTCTTCCGAGTAGAGTAAAGGGAACTGAAGGCCGTGCCCTCCGACGGCGTGAAAAAGGGCGCCAACCTGCAGCACTCGATCAGTCGGGAGCTGTCAGAAAACTAAAACAACTGCCTGAGGGAGGAGTGTCGGCACGCAGACACGTGCACGGCTTACTGCATTCCTTCACGCAGGAATACGCATTTCACTTCCCATGCTGCTTGTATTCTTCATAAGACTGTCTGCCGTTATTAATAAAGAGTTTATGTGATGTGGCAGCTTCCAGTTCGTTGCGGCACTGCGCGGCTCCATTGCTCGTCTTGATTAAGAGCTGCACTTGTTGCATCGAGCCTCGTCATCGTTCCACATGGCCACGAGCAGCGGCGTGGCAGGTGGCCCTCAAGGTCATCCACCAGTCAAAGATTGGCGGTTTGATCCGCCTTTTGCAAGATACTGAACCCCGAGCTGCTCACCAAGGTTGTGTGTGTGTGTGTGTGTGTGTGTGTGTGTGTGTGTGTGTGTGTGTGTGTGTGTGTGTGTGTGTGTGTGTGTGGACCTCTGGGCTGGTGGATTGATACATTTGTATTTTCTTGACGGTTCATTTATGAAAATGCGATGAAACTCTTATTCTGCCGTACTCTGCTTTTCAGTGGCGCTCTAGTTTTGTCTCGTGTGATAAATTGAGCTCGCCCCCCCCTTTTCCTTTTCCCCTTGTGGGCTGACTGACCACGATCTCTGCAACCAAGCACATCTTACAGCGCGCTTCTTCGCTGCGTCATCACCATTTATGCTTACACACCCCCGATGCCCCTTTGAAGGAATTGTTCACCAGGAGAAGGTCTTTCCACTCATGAAGCGCACCACATACTTTAAAATGTGCAAATTGTTCTTCTAAATGCAGGACGTTTTCAAACTCCTTAAGTAATCACATTCAGAAATTTGTCCAGAAACATCGATTGATTAATACAATTTTTCCGTGGTCGAGGAGCCGAAATTGGACGATGGCAGCAATCAGATGTATTCCAAGCAGCTCGCTCTCTCCCTCCCACGTGTTTGGACCGAACCTGGTTGTGTAGATTACTCTGGCTAAGCACAAATGTCGATATATCTCCCCCATCCATCTCCAGGCGGAGGGCAGAGGTCAACAGGCACAATGTGTTGGAGGAAGGCGAAGCCTTGGACCAAATGATACAATACGGTGGTGCTCTGCCAGGGGCGGGCGGAGTGAAGCTAATGTGAAGAATGATGCCATAATTAAACTTCACCATCGTCAAAACGTATTCCTTCAGAGCTTCAAAGCGGACATTGGGACCAAGCAAGTAAGAGCCCCTTTATCACAAAAAAGAGAAAACGCGCGGCTTGTAAGGTCCAAGCAGAAAATGCGGTTTCCCTGACCTAAAAGAAATTTTGAATATGTTCATATTTGGGGACACTAAATGGAATCTTAACGTAGTGAAATGTCCTGACAACATAGTGTTGATTAACGCAACGGGAGGAAGTGTCATCATATCAGTTAACCCTGGAGCAACACTCACAACGCCCATGCTCCTCAGAGAAGTGCAAAGAATTGCAACGCTTTTGACCGACAGTCAGAAATACAATGAGTGTGAACTGGATACACTGTTATTCACTTAATGGACTCTCCCTCTAGTTAACCCCTACGTGCCATATTTAATTGCATATTATTTGCTGTCTTTGTTGCTTAACATACGCAATCAACGTCTGCCCACTTTCACCCACGTGCAAGCTCGACTTTAGCACTTTAAAATATGTATCAAATGGGGTTTTTTCTTGGTAGAATGAACATAGTACCTTCAACCACATGGTTTATATTGCATACAAGAGTTGTGGAAGAGCTATTTTTGTCGTTGCCGGGACTGGACGCTGCTATTGCAAGTGCATGTTCCCCTTTTAGGCAGCAGAATACAAATCATCCTTTCTTAGCCGGTGTCTACAGCCATGCACATATGGATATGCGGCTGATATTTGTTGCTCACTCCAAGCAAAACATTCAGACAAAATACAGGATGTGCTTCTGCTGACCCTTTACCGGCCTGCCTGGTAAAAACTACCTATAAATAACTGAAATATTACGTGCAACCATGGCATTCGATCAGTGGAAAGGACCCAAAAGGTGTGATCTAAAAGAAATGTAATCGGGACTCATGCAGCCCCCTATCATCATCATCATCATCATCATCTCAGGTGAGATGTGCAGCTCACGGGCGTGACACGGTGACTTCAATGTTTACCTTGATTATGCTGCTCCTGCGCGGGATTTCACATTTGGCGTCCGGTCCGGCGAAGGCGTCGGCGGCGCTCCCCGCGGCTTGGCCCCCGGCGGCGGCGGCGGCGGCGAGGGACCCGGAACCGACCATGTTGTCCGATATCCCGCAGTCCCCATTCAGGACCGACCCCTCGCAACTCGCCTTGCCCGCGCCGGGCACGTCCGCGTCCCCGGGATGCAATGGAGGCGGGTCGCCGTCCTCTCCGAACTCCGCCATAGGCACTTTCGAGAGCACACGCACGCACACACGCACGCACGTACACACACGCACGCACACACACACACACACACGCAAGCTGCTGGGTCGAAGCCTTTTGCGGTGCTTGTCAGGTTTCCTCCAATTTCCTGCCCGCCCTATCGCCTCCGTGCAACGCTCGCACGCAGTTGTGCCATTCCGCCCCTCCGGTGGTGGTGGTGGTGCACGTCTCGGTCAGCCTCCCGCGGTCACGGGGCTCCGTGCATCGTGCCCTGCAGAAGAGAGAGACCGCGGCGGTGTTTCGGGGTGCAATTAGACGGCGTGATATTAGCGACAAAAGCCCGTGTGCGGGAGCGAGCGGCCGCGGATCGCGTCGCGGAGCGGATGTGAACTTACAAAGAGACGTCGCTGTCATCGCGTTGGCACTCGTCGTTTTTTTTACATGAATTTTGCTATTTTCTTCAAATAAGTTGACGGGTTTTTTTGGGGGGGGGGTTGTTTTCTAACACATCTACGGTATCGCACCGGCGTCCGGGTTGCTAGTTTAAATGCATTAAAAAAAAATAAAAAAAACACCCTTCTTTCTGTTTAACAGCAACTCGCCGACGTTAAGCTGAATGAGCTTTTTTTCACGTTGAAGTTACCGGTTCGTCATTAACTTTCCCGATGAGCTTACCGTGTCCTCGCTTTTGGACCGACTCGCTCGCCATGGAGAGGACGCGCTCCTCTCTCAAGTTGTTGCTGCCGCCAAAAGAGAGAGCCAAGGGGATACACCAGACTCGGGGGAGGAGTATAGCACTCGAAAAAAAACTCCACTCTCTGCTCGGGGCCCCGGAGCACAGAGCCGCGGCAAGAGGACTCAGCCAACGTGAGCTCTCGTCAGCTGGGTGACATTAGTTTTTGTTTGTTTTTTTCTAAACCGCCGACGCAAAGTCTCCTGAACGCGACCCCGGGGTTGTTGTGTTGTTGTTTTGTCCCGGCTGACGAGCGTATCCTCCAAAGTCAGTTATTTGAATACGGTTTACGTTTCCCGTTAGTGTAAAAATGAATAACAAAAAAATCTGACGTTAAGTCAGAGGAGTCGTTTCCGAGCAACCAAGTAACTCGACGGGCAGAGCCGTCAATCAAACCTGATTGAAACCTGAAACGCCCCCTTTTTACATTATTGCACAACAAGTATACCTGTCGGCTCATATAAAGGACTTTAATCCTAAATGTCAATAGATTTAGGCTATTATTTTATCAGCCCGTACTTTAATTGATTAAAGCATTTGCAGTAATGCTAAAACAGTTTAATATGGTTGTCAATGCCAGGGTAGAATTGAAAAAATATTTAAAATCTTTTATGTATGTAGGCCTACCAGTCAAACGTTTGGACACATTTTTCTCATTCAATTCAATGAGACAGTGTGTCCAACCCTCTGGCTGGTATCCTATATACTAATAAGACGAATCAACATATTACACCAATAATACTGAATGGGTTGAAATGTAAACCCTGTAACCAGTAGTATTATTAAACCACAATGAATTAAAGCTTTTACTCCTTGTTTTGCCTAAGGCCGTCCGTAGTACATCTTCTGTTCTGTATTATTTGTGTTATTGCTGTTGATGTCAGCTTTATTCAGCAGTTACATCTGACATCCCTAAAAACAAACGGAAAGACTCACATGACTTTTTCTTTTTCCTGTTTCAAGTCGCATTGTGTTTCACTTCTTCCTCTTTTGGTGGACAGTTCATGGGGGCCATATCCAACTGCTCTTAAGTGCCGATGTAACAACATGCACTGAACTTAAAGAAACAGCAATTTGTGCTCTTCTAACGGACCTGCACAGAAACCTGTATGCGATCGAAAATAATCTTCCCTGCAGATGATCAAAAGCTTTAAAATATCCGTCACACGTGCAAGATCACATGGGATTATATCGCTTATGGGCACTTGTATAAGGAGAGTAAGTAATGAGGCATAACATTCCTCTACATGATTTAATGCATTTTATTCATCGGCCACTGGTTGGATAAACTGGACAGTCATGCAGAAGCAGGAGGTGTGGTGAGCTGTACAACAGAGCCATCTGCTGGTTCGTAATTCAAGCCAATCTTTATAGGTCCGTGCCTTCTAGGCGTTTGGCCCCTTTAAAACCACAATGTCTCATCTTAATTACATAATTCTCCTGTTTTTTCAAATTACAACCCAAGATGGATTTATCAGATGGTTTTTAAACATTATCTAGAAAAGAAAAACAACTTTCAAATATCTTTAAAAACTAAAAATATATCCTGGTCTTTTTTTCGGTTACAGGCCTGTTGACTTGTCACCCCCCAGGTTCTTTTGAGAAAACCCTTGTGAAAGGACCACTGAAAGTTGATATTTGAACAAAGTTACATGGCAGTCTTCATAGGAAAACATTCCGATGCTGTAATTACAATTACCCCTCTTGTGTTCATCATCCATCAATACTGTTCATTTGATCAGAATAACATACTTCTTAGATGGAACTACTTCAGCCGAAATATGAAAAATCCATCATTTTTTTTTACCATTATTAAAAATAAGTTTCTCTTTAAGGGAAAAAAGTGTATTTAAACAAAAATCTTTTGAAGGTTAAATACGTTATTAGCACCCATGTCAGGCTCCCTGCTAGCGCCTAGAAACTACAACATAAGAAAAAAGACTTGACAGACAGGGGGCGGGGCCTCTGAAAACTACCACACACCTCTAGTGGGCCCTCAGGGGTCACTGAGGGATAATTTTAAGGTCAGGATGATAGCAGGCCACGGCGGCAACCTGTAACATTTCCACACTGAGGCAGAGGTGAGCATCAGTCCACCCTCGAGTGTTTGAACGGATTCTGCTCGTTGCCGCTGGTGCAAATTCATGTGGATATGTTTGATTTCATAAGCGCGGACGTGAGAAGGCGGTGAATCTGTGAGCCGCAGTCAGGAGCAATGATCATTTTTTTCAGCAATATTCTGTTTTTAGTGCAACAGAGAGTTTAAATAGGGGATACTTTTAGAAAATAAAGAAGCTTTAGAACCTACAAATGAGACCATTTTCCTCTTCTACAGTAAAGAAAGATTTACTTATAAAACACTTGGATTTGTGCTTTGACTGTAATAAATACGTAACGAATGGCCACTTGCCGTTATCACATTTATGCTAAACGAAGGGAAGAATGACATAAAATTGAAACAAAACTAAAGCTTTGAAATGTTTAATTTCAATCAATAACAGAAGGACAGTGTCGTCTGATTGTGTGTAGAATTAACTTTTTATTATTTATTATATATTGGACTTGAATTAAAAGTTCTTACTGCTTTCACTTACACATTTCCAAAATGAATAAAGTCCAGCAGGACAAGATTATGACACATCACTGGGATGCAGCATCCCATTGGGTTTTGATTAGAGATCAATATTTAAAACCAAAAAACGTCCCTTAAACTCGCGGCAATCAGTGCTAAGCCCCATCCCATCCAGACGCGTTCTTTGCTCGTGTCATCGGTAAATCACTTGTAAGCTCAGAGGAAATTGATGAGGTTTGCAGTATCTGGCCTCATAGAGAGAGAACCAACAGACACGTAAAACTGCTTGATTACACGCTGCGGACTCCAGCGCTCCTCTTCAGGCTATTGGAATGATTTCGTCGATGCACTGGCACGAAGCGGGACACCAGGAAGACACCAGATTGTTGCTGCATCCAACCAATGTCTTCAAGCTGGGACAGTTGAGGTACTTGTTTATGTAGGGACAGGGGTTGGCTGAAATGAAGCAACGGAGAGGTCAGCCTATTGTTTTTGCCGTAAAAGCAGCCTCATAAAATGTGTGACTTACTGCACAGTTTGTCTTCACAGTTATTGGGGCAGGAAGCGCAGGAGGGTCCGACCTTGTAAGGCGGCCATGTCCTGAAGTTCCCTCTGTGCAAAAAATTGTCAGGTCAGGTTCTTTCACCCGACTCTAGAGAAACCTCTGGTTCAATGTGTGGACACTTTTAATGTCAATTCATCACCGCCGTCCAGCTACCCCCCCAGAAAGGACACAACAGAAGTCATAAAGGGGGTGACTTACGCTCGGTAATAATGGCAGGCGTAGAAATAAATGCCGTTAGGGCACAATGTCATTCCACAGCCAACTTTGTAGGAGCTGTTCCACACCACCTGACAAAAAGAAGATTCAAAAAACAAGCTGCTTAACTCTCCTCTAACAGAAATGCGGATCGCTTCTTCAAACACCGCCATGACTTATTTGTGTTTTTGTGTGCGTATTTTCAATTCATTTTTTAATCTTTTAAAACTACTTTTTCACATCAGTTTTTCAAACAGAAATTGCTGCGTAAAGTGTGAAATTGATGGAAAGGGATCCAAAGAATGCCCCTTTTCTCAGTGGAAACAGCTTTGAGAATAATAAAAGTCGACCAAAACAGAAAAACCCCAAAGGTGATGTGAAAGACGGCAAAAGACTTTTCCATTAGACTTGATTTATAAAACAATATAGATTCATTAAAATCAACCATCCAAGAAAACCACAGCGACGTTACTGTATGCGGTCATTGCTGCTGTCCCACAAGTACCTTTGCCTGTTACCATGACAACAGCTGACTGTTACCTGTGTGTAGTGACCCACGGTTTTGGCGTTGGTGGAGCCATTGGGGTACAGGTAGTTGGCCACCTCACTGTGCCAGGCGTTGACCACGGCGGTCCACGGGTAAGGTGAAGATGAATAGAACAGATTCTCCCCCAGTTCATATCCTGCCGGACGGAACGCAAGATTCATTTCCATGTCCCAGTAGCTCACTTATTGAGATGAAACCGGCGTTCATTAATGGGCCAGAGGGTGATAACCACCTTTAATGATAACATATCTTACTCGGTGTAATCTGTTTTTAAATGAAGATATCAAGACTGGAGATAAGATAATATTCACTGTGACGCCGACATTCAATCACAAGGTCACGCACTTCACAGGGAACCTTCACACACACACACACACACACTTCTGAGGCGTTGTATAAGGGGCTGGCATTTGTCGAGCGAGGTTAAAACGAAGGGGAAAAAAAGAAAGATAAAGAGACATTCTACCATTGAGCATGCGGGTGCTGGGTTCTCCGTGAGCCAGAACACAGTTGTCAGCCCAGGCCTGAGCGCTGGCTGCCACCTCCTCGCTGTAGCTCTGTGAGACAGACAGGTAACGAATCGCGTGTTTCACAACACTTGGAACTGGAATGCAGAAGCAGATCCATTCTCTCGCAGGATGTGTTTTTTTTGAAAACGGGATCATTTGCCGTTTGAAAGACTGAAGGAATTTCAAAATATTTTCCAGTCTGACGGGTTTCCCCTCGGAGAGCAGCTGGGGTTCTTTTCACACAACCCAAAGCCGAAACCCAATATGAACATGAGACTTTTGTGCAGCAGCCTTGCACCTCCACAAACACCCGACTCTCTTGGAAAGGACATGAGGCGTCTTTATTCCTCCTGTTGACTCAAAGATGGTCAACTGTGTGCAACGCTCGCTACTGCGTAGATTAGAGGATGTTGACGTTACCCAACTGTAATGGAAATTAAAATGACATTTTAGAATAATTATATTTATCTATGAGAGGCCACGGTCAACGTGTATTTTCACATTTCATCACGCTTATAGGGCCAGTGCGCAGGACTTGGCGGTATCTAGCGGCAAGGTTGCATGGAAACATCTCGCACGTGCAAAGCGTGAAGGAGAACACGGTGAAGAAAGTGCAAATTTGAATTTGCCCCACAGGAACCAGGGCTTGGTTGGTCCATTCTGTGTTACTGAGAACAATGAGAGGACATGCTCCATATGTAAGAAACAATTCATTCCAAGGTAATGATGCTTATTAACATTTTAACATATTATTGATGTAATATTTTGTCTGTGGATCCCCATAAATGCTTAACATTGGGCCTTAAAGGTCAAGCTCAGCTCTTAATCATCATCCTGATTGGAAAAGCCCCTTTTTTTTAAGTGATGTTCATGCGCTGCAAAGGAGATCGTAACTGCCATGGATGCATTTTTCTTCCTACAGGCGACAGTAAACAGTTTTTAGCATAATGTAAGTAAAAGCAGGACTGACCATCAACAGCATGTCAGAAGCAGTAGGCTCAACAGCTCTCCGGAAGGCGTTGTGGACGTCAATGATCTCGGCCTGTATAGCTGGTTTATCCGGGCAAATGTCTGCACGCACACACACACACACACACACACACACACACACACACACACACAGAACCACACTTAAAACCAACATATCAAAGGACTACATAATGAAGCCTGATATTTACTCTGGTGGCTTAATTTCTACTCCATGACTCACAAAAATATCCTGGTTTAATTACTGTGAAATGGCTTGACATAACAGAAGAATTTACAGAGAGGATTCCACCAAATCCCATAATCGTATAGGGAGACTTATTGACATGGTTTCAGAGTTGATGCCTAAAAATAGCATATGTCTGCAAAGTCAAACACGGCAGATGGAGCTAACATCGTGCTTACCTTGCTGTGGACACACGAGAGCCCGCGGAAACATTTGAAAGGAAGAAGAAATTTAAGTTAAAATATTAAGACATCAGAGGTGTAAAGAATTATTTTACATTTTTATTGTAAAACAAAGTACTTTCTAAAAACATATGAATTTCAGATGAAAGTGTCATTTAAGTTTCTCGGCTTCGTACCAGTCCAGTGTGAGGAATTTCAGTACTAGGAAATATGTATTGTATGTCGGTTCTTATTTTTTTATTAGTATTATAATGACCCAGGCCGAAATTACACCTTTGCTCTAAAATGCACTTAAGTCTCTTAAAACCCAAACTCTACACAAGTACAGTACGTGCATCCCATGAAAACACTCTGCATGCATATGTCCCATGCACATTACTCCTTCCTGTATTCATCACTTCTAAATACTTCTACTCACATCCACGCAGGCAGAGTGCACTTGCTGCAGGGTCAGGATGCAAACCAGGAGAGTGAACATTTTTCCTGGACAAAAAAGAAGATTAAAACAAAGTAAGATTCCTGAGACATTTGATAAGATATTCGGGGCAAAATATTGATTGAGTCGTCCACAAATACTAAAAACAAGGCATAGGAAAGCCGTAGAGAGGCGTACCTGCTCCTGAGTCTTCCAAGGGCGGAGGTGAGGCGGTGCTCTCCGCTCCCTCCTTTTTATAGACCCAGCTCTGTTGCAACACCCCGTCCGGCTGCTAATGATGCCGCACAATCCGAGGCTCTCCGTAATGGTCACTTAAAAGAGCAACACTGACAGAAAGTAAACATGGAATTGTTAAGCTCAAGGGTGCAGTGACTTTCTGATGCATAGGGTCAAATTTACACGGCTTACAGCAGAATGGAAAGGCATCTGAGGCAAAGGTAAATAAAGAGAAAAAGAGCATTGGTAGATTACAAGGTAGATCCGTGTGGTCCTCTGCTTAATGGATTACAGCCATACAGCACGTGTTGGCCGAGGACGCACCCATTGCTTGCTCTGGTACAACACGCGGCGCAGAAAGCAGATAGCGACCAGCGAGATGGGGCCGAATGGTTCATACGTGTTTGGGTTTCAGAAAGATTGTAATTACAGCAAACGCGGGGGGTGAAAACGAAGGGGGATCTCTGAAGGGTCACACAATCCTTACAAATTAAATTTGAGCATTTGAGCAGTTAATTCTTGGAAAATAGAACTGATTTAACAAAAAATGAATCTGATTGGTGAAGTTTGAAACAACTTCTTTGCTGTAAAGAAAAAAAAACATTCTATGAAAACTTTTTGGATTGTAAATTGAATCTATATTTTTCAACCTTTTATGGTAACGATAAAGCTTGGTGTGCCTGAGGGAGTGGCTGCCTCGTTGTGCGGTCTAAGGAATTGTGCGTGTTTTCGTCTTACGTCTTGAACCCTTTCACAGAATGTTTAGTTTTAATTATAAGTTAATTTTCCGTTAGTTGTCCACACACCACTGACTATGTCCACATGTGCAGTCTGAGATCCAAATGCACACTAATGTAGCCCTGTGGCAGTATGATGAGTACATATTTGCTAAAACATTAGCATTATGTGTGTAAGATGTCAATGTTGTTTGTCATGCTGAGTGAGGATGACCTGTATGGCAGTCCTGTAAATATGCACGTTTATTAAACACATTTTTCCAATTTCATTTGTTATATTTAGACATTCTAAATACACGTAGCACTAGTATCTATTCATTTAATTTGTTTATTTCTATATTGTCAAACAGCATAATAAATGACGATGTAGTTTTTTTATTAAATAAACAGTGTCAAACAATTGTGCTGCACTGCTGGCTCTGCATTGAATGAACAAAGCAGAAGTTTGACTTTAGAATGACTTTGCATGTTCACCTTCCTCTCTGTCGACTGGTGATTATGTGTTTAAATGCTCAATAAGCATCATGCTATCGCCTCTTTTCTCATTGCGTCGTGTTTTAAAGCACAAAGTGTAGCTACGGCCTCGGCGTCGAAAAACAAGTCCGACTTGTTCTACAGGTTCCACAAGTATACTCTTGGAAATATGTGTCACTGAAAATATTGTTTGGAGTGATTCTATGATTTCAGCTGCTTTTATGGCGCTTATTGGAAAACACATCGTCTCATTGCTGCTACATCAGAAAACAAATGAACTTTCCAACTGTAAAAAGATTTTGGATTCACACTTTTTTTTTTATTGGAAAGTTTTCTTTTAAAGGAAATACAAAACAGACATCTAATGCCTGCATTGTATTTCATGGCAATCCATCCAATTGTTGCCAAGATATTCCACTCAAACGCCCTAATTTGAATCTCAGCAAAATATCTGGGATTCGTCTTCTGGGAACCATGAACTTCCATTGCAACATGTTAGATGGGGACCATGAATTGCTGTACATTTGTATTTCTATCGTATAATTGGTGTCGATCCGTCCAGTAGAGGTATAAGACATTGTAGTCTGTAGTCGTTGCCACACCGCTAACAGCTAAATAAAGATACCTGATAAACTGGAGGCTGTGTGCATCCACAAACTAGACTGCACACTAGAGACGATGTGTACGACTGCTAACAGCATTACATGGCAGCAATGATTGATATCATGGGTGGAGTGCTTTACGTGGCATTGTATGGATTTGGCTCTATTTGAACAAAAACTCCTCCCATCAGGTAGGAATTGAAAAATGTATAAAACTTAAAGTCAATAGTGGCGATTATGGCCCGGAGTGAGTGGAGCTACAGGCGGACAGCCGGGCAGAAGGATGACGGACTGATGCCGCCGGGCTCTGGACAAGTTATACGAGAAAGGGCTTTTGTTGGAAACCGGTTCCTGTTGTCAACACCTGTTGTTAAACAGGTATTTCCTTTTTAAAAAGAAAAATAGTATACTACTGAATGCACGCACCTTGTCCATACAGCCCGCGGCTGCATTTAAAAAGTGCAAGGGGTGCATTGACACAGTTGAAGCAGAAATATTCTTTGAACGCTTTCAAACATCAGCCTGTGTAATAAAACAATCTTTGAGATTTGAGATTCAAATCAAAAATCCCAAACCACTTTCTTGCATTAATGAACAATTGCCTTTTGTTCGCAGTTACAGTCAGTGTCCAATCCGAGGCTACTGGACTGAGTGGCAGGTGATAAATATCCTGTTAGGGTAAATAAAGTATGCCGCGTGGTATACGCATACATAGCTGTCACATTTACACCCATCAGCATTATAGACACAGCACATATACATATCATGATACACATATAGTGCTTATCTCTACACAGAAATGTGCACACTCAAGCAAAATTAAGAATGTATAATGCATATTTAATCATTGGCTTATTCAAGTCAGACAGCTATGACATACATAAATAAATAAACATTGCAGTTAACGGATCAGCTTTTGCCAAATGGACATTTTTCTTTCCTGCAGTCCTAGAGTTATGTTGCACAATGCCACCTAACAGAGATAAACAATTAAAACATTATTGAAAAACGGATGTACGCATAGGGAGCAATTATAACATTGTACCTAACGTGACATCATTGCGCTTTAATATCAGGTACTCAAATGAGACGTCATCGTAAGAGATTTTGAACCGACTCACTCTCTGATTCAAGCACTGGGGGGCACTGACACCTCTCTAGTCACGGAACAGAGCGGTGGAAGCGGCTGGAGGTCTGAAAAGTATGGAACCTTTCACAAATAAAAGCCTCTCTGATCCGTGTGCGGAATCAGAATCAGCCGCTGCCCGGGCCTCTCCGTCTTTACACCTCCTGTCACACTACTCGTCCCGCTTCAGTGGTCCCACAGCGGGACATTCAGGGTTCGAGATTGCATGAAGGTTACAGAACACACGCACCTAATTTGGATCGAAACATCGAAATCGTTGAAGTGTAAGATTCGACAACAGCATCACGTCTGCTTTATTGTATCTCCCGCCTAAAGCTACAGCATGTTGGCCGTTACGCTGTGGGTGATCGTTAGTGCCGGTCCAGCCTCAGCCCGATGGCGGCTTCGGCATTTTGGCCTGTGTTTTATTTCACGCGTCAAGCATCTCCACACAACTTTAACAATTTGCCACCCTTCTGTTCCCTCCAAACTCAGGCCTCTCCTCGCGGTTGTTCAGAGGACGTGATTTACCCAAACCACCCGTTTTCCTTCCAGCGGAAGTGCGAAGGTGGTCTAATGCTGAAGTATGCCCTTCCAAAATGGGAGGCGTTTTGCCCAGAATCCAGTTGCATGTTGGCAGTTTCCGCTCAGGAAGGGTGATTAAAGCCGGACGGGGCTCCTGATGTGACAGCAAACAGCGGCAGGAGATCTCTGAAGAGAGACGAACCATCGTGCCGCGGCCCGGAGATGCTCGCGGGCAACGCGCGAGCGACACAATGAGGGCCCTTCTTGAAAAGGCAGCTGAAAAGCCTGGCAAATGAGCGAGTGAATGCCGCCACGAGGCGGAAAACGACTTTGAGGAGAGCCCAATGTCAGGGGCACATTGTGTGAGAACAGTGAGCCTAATTGTGAGCAGCACGGGCAGCTCTTACTCAGTAATTATGGCGACTCATCAAAAAGTGAGTCCACCTTTGTCTCGCCCGTTTTACGAGTTCTATTCAATGTTCTGTTTCAATTGTAAATTGGATTTTTGACAAGAATCGTTGTTCAATTTTTGCATTTTTGCAGCAGACGGACTCCCCAATGAAAGCTGGTGCTTGTTGTGCCTCAAGATCAATGCAGTGAGTTCCGTGAGAGGGAACCGAGACCGTACGAGATGTTCTCAGAACGTGGTTTTGGCTACATCATTTCCTGGACATTCACAGGAAAGTGAAAAATAAAACAACATGTTTACCAACCCTTGTGTGAGGCCGTAAAACGCAAAACGAAGCCGAAAGACGATAAAACGCTCTGCAGGGAGAAGGACTGCAGATTTGGATGAAGTAACTTTGTGACTGGTTTTTAATATCCTCCTTAAATGTCTTTAGCAACAGAAATCACAGTTTATTCAACAGGGCTTAAATACTGAGTGCGGCTGCAGAGAGGAGAGTACACACAACCGACTGACCTGTGACCCCTACCCTTATTACCCCCCCCCAAAAAAAACCTTCATGAGGATGTGTATTGACTTTATGTAAAAGTATAATCTCTTTTTTACTCCCCCCACCCCTCTCCCTAAAACCATCTTCCTTTAGTCCTTCCCTCCCACCCCCCTGCCCTCCCCCCTAACTCCCACATTTCTCTGCCCCCCTCCTCTACTCAGATGGATTCTTCAGTCAGCCGAGTGGAACCGGAGGGGCTGCTGAAGAGACAGAGAGACAAAGACGCAGAGACGCAGGGAGAGAGAGAGAGAGAGAGAGAGAGAGAGAGAGAGAGAGAGAGAGAGAGAGAGAGACGGATCAGAGCGCTCAGTTGCTTCAGACAATCACGGGGGGGGGAGAGAGAGAGAGAGAGAGAGCGCGCGCGCGAGAGACAGAGAATGGCGGGGGAGACAGGGGAGGGAGGTAAATATGTGACAGGATGTGGTTTCCCTGAGCTTGCAGAACGTCGGTGCGCGAGCATACTTTGAGCGTGACCTAGACGCACTGAGCCCACAAGTGTGTTCCAAGCCGCGTCCGGTGGAAAAGGAGGCGGGAGAGGGCGAGCAAAACCGCAGATATGCGGCTGCTGCCGCCGCCGCCGCGGCTGCTGCTGCTGCTCCGGGTCCTGAGAATGTGTTTCCCCCCCCCCATACCGACAGCACCTCTGGGAGAGAGCCGGAACGCGCCTCCGTCCTCCCTCCCGGTAGATGGTGTTTCACCGGTGGGACGCGCCGATCCAGCTGCGTCCGAGCACTGAACTTTTCTTTTCAACGAGATTCGCTAAAACCTCCCCCCCCCTCCGCCCCGACCCCCACACCCCTCCCACCCCGACAAAAAACAGGTACGTTATGCTCCCCTGCTTGCGCGAGAGCTCCTCGACATGTGCGTGTGCGTGTGTGAATTTGAACTTCGGGAACAGATGTGCGAGCGCGTGCCCATTCCCGTTGGACAGCAGCCTCTGTGGTGGCGATCGTTCCACCACAGAGGCTTGATTCATCCGAGATGACGCCGCAAGCCACAAGTTTGGCTTCTCTGGATCGGTGTGTTCCAGCCAGCTCTATATCCACTGCTACCACACACACACACACACACACACACACACACACACACACACACACACACACACACACACACACACACACACATGCTCGTACAAGCGAGCGCACACACTCCGGCCGGTCAGCACGCAGGTCGGGTCGTTCTGATGTTCCGTGCGTAATGGATGGCGCACAGCGGCGCTGGGAATGTCATGAATGTCATACATGTCTACCTGCTGGATCCCATCATGAACCCGGCGCGCGTCTCCGTGACGTACGTTACCACGCCGCCCCCCCGTAGCGAGGGGAGTGTGTGAAGTGTGCGCGCTACTGTACTGTAAGGATGAAGGTTAAAAGTAAGGGATTCCCTGTGTGTGTGTGTGTGTGTGTGTGTGTGTGTGTGTGTGTGTGTGTGTGTGTGTGTGTGTGTGTGCCACAAGTGGATGTTTACACGCTCCGACTGTGTGCTCCGGTACACGAGCTCATCCAAGCGCGCGTGCGGGAGGAGGTTTAAAGGGGAAAAACAAGTCGAGCGGTGGCAGGAGGGGAAGGAAGGGCGGGGGGGGAGGGGAGGGGGGGGGGGGGGGGGGGGCATGGGAGAGAGAAAGGAAAAGCAGGAGGAAGAGGGGGGGGGTGCATGTGTGTGTGTGAGATAGAGAAAAGTGAGTGAGAGAGCTCAGTCCGTCTGAACTGCTGTTAATTAGTTCCAGCTGGTGAGCTGTGCAGCGTCAGGCTGCCGTGACTCCACCGTGTTGGGTCAGGAGTTGCCTCTGTCTCACGCACACACACACACACACACACACACACACACACACACACACACACACCCGGATACACACATCCAGAGGCATCGCAACAACCAAAAAATCACTTAAAAAGCAGACAGCATATGGGCAGCTCCAGAAATCCAATGAAAGATGTCATAGGCTGCACAAACTCAGACACACACACACACACACACACACACACGCACACACAGATGTGCACATGGTAGCCTCACACACACATTCAAAACAAAAAGACAACATCAGATGTTGACACACTGACAAAAGCAGACGGTAAACGCACACCGTACACACAAACGCACACATTACACAGTCAGGGGGCGAAAAAAACAGCCTTCTGCTGAACTTCATGTCAAGTGTGCATATCAAAGGGTAGGTGTGGTGAATATGTACGACGTGCAATGAAGACGTGCACTACCATGCATGCGTATATGCTTTTCATGCACATGACAGACACACACACACACACACAGATAAAAGTCTTCAGAAGCCCCACGCGGCTGCATCATGCATCGGCCGCTCCCGTTGGAAATGTGGAATTGATCGCAGGTGAAGAAAACCTCGTAGTTGTGTGTTCCCCTCCAGACAGCTGGGGTTTGGTTTCTCCATGTTTGAGGTTTCTGTGTATCTGAGACCAACACAATGGGAGTAAATGGAATTTCACTTGTCTTACCTGCAGCTTCTGATAACACACACTTTAAAATGCTTCTACCTACAGCGGCATTTATTACATCTTTTATATCGTTAAAAGCCATTAATTAGAACACCAAATTTCCATTCTTTGTCATTTCAGCTAGCTCCTTAGCTCAGCAGGAAGAGCCCTTAAAATGCTTATTAACCTCTGCATTAGACTTACTTTTATTTTTCTAGTGACAAAACAATTGTATTGCACCTGCACATTTGAATATACAGAACAAATGCACTTTATTGTATATTTTACTGCTATTGTGCTTTGAATTAACATACTGCTTTCTCTTTCACATTGTGCTATATTACTGCTAACAGACACCTTTCTGCATTATATGAACATGAAAGAAAACCTGTTCTTTAGGTGAATTTAGGTTTGCAAGCCCAATATTCAGGAAAGTCTGTTAGTTTAGGAAGCATTCGATTTGTGCAACCCAGTTTTCTATGAGCAGAACACGCACTTTAAACCAACAATATCTCAGTTGATTATTTTCATTTCAGGTTCATATGCAATTGTTGGCTGAGTAGTATGTCATGTATGTTTGGTAGAGTGATCCTTTGAAATCACTACTCAGTATTCAACAGTGTCGGTGGAGATTAAGAGTTTCAGTCTTTCCTTCCACCATCAATGGATGTGCTTTTTTCAGCCTATGTTGATTTTATTTCGATGCCGTCTTTTAGCAAACAACTTTCGTCTGCTATCTGATCCGGACACATTGAATCCCCCCTGTGAAGTGTGAAATTTGATTAAGGAAATTGGCGAGCGTTGGCTGGTGAGAACCAAAATGTTTACCTCTGTAAGTATGGACAAATACCCACAGACAGACAACGTAATACGAGAACATGTTATACTAAAAATGTAGGGTACGTCTAATTGAAAGGTAGTTATTTTTAAACCATCGTAATTTCATTCTACTCTCGTTTCACGCAGCGTTCGCTGATGCCAGGGACTCAAATAAGCTTCCCATTTGGAACATTTTGACATGTTGAGTGTTTAATTCCAGGATTTATTGTGGTTTGGTATTACTTTGTTCCAACTTGGATCTTTTTGCCAGTAATATAAACTTTAAACAAAGCAGTCACTGCTAAACATGGTGCGAGTTTTGCTGTCGTTGTGACATGGCGTCATCTGGCTTTGCAGATCCCTCCTCTTTTCCCCCTGAAATGCTCAGTTACGATTATCTCGGGCAAAGATTATCCCCCCCCCCCCCACCCACCGTTCCCGTGTTCGGTGACAGTGATCGTGCTTTTGAAGATGCTTAGCTATTCAAGCCTCTGGCATTGCCCTAGACCTGAGACGGCATCCTATAGATGAATCCTCCAGGCAAGACGGAAGACAAAAGAGCCAATATTCAGCCGGTTGTGTAGTATAATATATATAAGGCAAATTGACTCCTGTTGTAATGGGTGGTCAAGAAAATTGCAGCGGTATTGATTCGCTAATGTTGAACACGGACATATCGATAGGGTGTCTGAAAACCTAAGAACTTGGCTTTGGCTGGCTTTAATAAGAAATGACCTGCCTGGAGCAAGTTTACAGAAAGCAATGAGTCACTCACAGAGAATCTCTTAGAACTCCTCAGTGTTTTAGAGAAAAACCGAAAGAAGGCAACAAAAGAATTTTCTATTTTTAACCGTGTCGCTCTCTCTCTCCCTCTCTCTCTCTCTCTTTCCTGCTTTCCTGAAACGACAAACAATCCCACTTTCTTTGGCTGCAGCTTGAAAACATCCAACGCGTTGTTTGTGCAGTTCGAGTAGAGATAATGTTTTGCCTCTCGCTCGTGTGAACTGTACAAATCCCAGCGTGGATAGATTATTATGCATAGCAAATCAAACTCATGACTGTCAAAGAGATGTGGCGAGTGGAGAGATGGGAAATAGGAGGACGCCAGTGTTTGCTCCGGCACATGGAGGAGTGGGTAAAAGGAGGATGGAGGAGGGGAAGCAGGGAGCCGGTCGCGGGGATGAGGAGGGGTGTGGGCTTACAGCGACGAGAACAGAAAGACAAAAAAAAGAAGAGAGAAACTGACAATGAAAGAGAGGGAGAGGTTGAGAAAGATTGGGGCCTATTATTCTCCTGAGGAGGCCATAGACATAGAGGGGTTGGTTCCCATGGCAATACCTCTCTCGATGCATGTGTGTGTATGCATGTGTGTGTGTGTGTGTGTGTGGCCCGCGTCCGGGCCTTGAGACTGTACGGAGACGAGGTCGGTCGAGGCCATCGCGAACCCGGAGACTCGAAATGGCGGAGAATCGCTCCGCCGTACGCGATTGTTTACTCTCCCTTTTTTTTCTTTCTCCATCTCACTCATCACAACCTCATCTTCTTTTTGGCTTTTCCCGCGTGCGTGGCCGCCATGCATCGTCCTTGGGCATTCAGAGCAGATATAACAAATTCAGCGATGTTGAAAAAAGCAATTCCACCTTTGCCACCCGCGGCCTCCTTTTTGAGGGTGCGTAACGGTTTAGATGTGGAGACGTCACCCCAATAAACTAAATGTAATCTTTTCTCCGGGATCTTCAAAGTAGAAATGTTTAATACATTACAATGCACTCACTTACAATGCCCAAAGCCGTCTGAGATTTTTCATTTATGACCAGTCTGCGAGTCGTGGAGCATGTTAAACCGCTTTCCTCCTTAAGTCCCTAAAATATAACTGCCTCTTCCCTTTTTGTTATTCATATTAAATTACATCAGCATGATCCTGCAGGGACTAATGAATGATTGAATCCAACGTCTCTTCTCTGTCTTTGTCTGCTAACTAGACGCTAGAAAGGCTAGTTGCTAGCAGTGATAGCAGATAGCTAGCTAGCTATCTGCTATCATTTTATTGGTGCTTCTTTATATGATTTATACACCGTTAAAGAAGCCGTGAGGATTTGTTTGAATAATAACTTTCTAGTTTGATTAAAATATCTAAACTCAATAAAGTAAAAAAACGTATAAACCTTTTGTTTCAACAAGTAAAGTAATACAGCTGGTAAGCACCATAACCACAGAGATTACAATATGATGCATGGATCCCAACAGCGACCCAGTTTCGTGGTATGTAATAGTGATCATAGAAAGTTTAAAGCCACAACACAGGACACCTCTGCCTCCATTGCTGTGCTTGGTATGGTCTGAAAAGTCCTATTTACGCTGGAATATGACAAAATGTTGCTAGATACACAGTTCACATTTGCTGCTTGCCAACAAAGTTAGCTTTTTATGTCTGAAGCTTACTAGAAGTATAAGCTGGTGTTATTTAACCAAGCAGCTGACTGTGTATTTAGCCACCTCTTAATGAAGCACACAGACAGACAATTGTGTGTTAAATGGATTATAATAGTTTGAACATAGGGTGTTTTAAAAGGCGTGTACTTAGTTCTGTACGATAAAGGCTAAAGGAAGGGGAGCAATGGGAAGTGAGGGGGATTTCCAAAGAAAGCGCGTTTCAGTTTCAGCTGACTGTCAGCAAAGGTTGAGGCCGAATCTCAGAGGGTGTTTAAAGGATATTTTGACCGGACGTCATACTACTGGACACATCTGCGGTGTTTCCTGTGCCCTTTTGTCAAAATCGGTGCCTCTTAAGTGCTTGTTCCAGAAAAACAACTCATACGGGCATTTCCTTCTTTGGCAGCAGCGGCTATCAAACCTTTTCTGCAGGGCCCCCCTCTGGCAGATAAAACATGCACAAGCCCCCACATTTGGAAAGCAACGAAGTTTAGTCAATTGCCACTGTCAAATATGAGCTCTTGGTTTCAGTTCAATTCAAAGCTGGTGTGTTTCCCAGTTTAGTGATGGTGGGTGAAAGCTGTCAATCAAAGCAGACCCAAACACTGGAAATTATTAAAGAAGACAAATTCCCTACTGTTAAATCCACCTGCTTATTGCTTACTGTTAAGAAAGGGTTTTTGTGATCTGTAGGCTGAAAGCAAAGTGTAGCCTGTGTTTATGCAAGCGGAATTGGTAACCATGGTTACTCCAGGCTTACATCACATCAGTGCAGGGGTTTTCCCCGACACGCCAAAAAGTAGAAACACTGAGGGGAGGGTGTGCTGCTCGTCTAATTTAGCAGCCTAATAGACGACCTGATATGGTATATAATGCTTATTATCAATGACTTTTTTGACCTATTTAGAGAAGATAAGGTTCTGGGTACCATGACTAAAGTGTCTGAATATAGATGAAGCCGGAGAGACGTCAGCAAAATTCTAACCTATTTACCTCGCAGTTTTTAATACATTTCTAAAAAGCTAATTTCCACACAAACTGGAGCAAGAAGAAACGATGTACAGTATATACCTATATCTATATAAATATATAGTTTGGACACCTTCTCGTTCAATTAAAGATACAGAACATTTTGTCAGATTACAAGGTTTTATGTTGTCATACCATTAAAAACACATAATATCTGAGTAGCCACCATACGGGTCAGGACTATATGATCAGAGCGCTTTCTTCTCGCAGTAACCCATAAAGATGCGTCCACCCATCAACCCCAGATCCCTTTTTTACAGCAATGTGCCGAGGTTCTTCAGCCTCTGTTTTGACCCCTAGCACGCCGCCTCGAAAAAAGAACCACCACAGTGCCATTTCTCTCCAAAGATCAGGTCACTCTTGTCCTCTGCTCTTGCCTGATGGTCTCTCTCGCCACTCCGCCTCGGAGAGCCCTTGACTCTTCTCCTCAGTGTAAACTACAGCCGACACTGAAACAGCAGCAGCCAGCGCCGAGCGCAGCCCTGATATAGCGCTCAACTTCTCTCGTCAGCTTAAAAAGATCAAAAGTCAAAAGAAAGCAGAAGAGGAGCGAGGGAGATAAACCGCCAGAGAGGGCGAGAGGGGAAGAGCGAGGGGGAGAGAGCCGGGCTTAAAAGGGGAGACTACACGGAGATGAACACAGGAACACGGTGTCCTAATTAATGTCCTCCTCCAATAATCCACTCCGAAGCTTCTCATGCCGCGGGGGTTTGATCTCAGCGATGTTGCTATCAAAGCCTTTGCAACGTGGTCTTTTGAAACGGGGGAGATCTCAGTCAGCATTACAATCACTCGGGGTTGGCGCTGGATGTCTGTTAGCATCAGGTGGCCATTTGTACCAACGTCTATGCAACAATGTAACAATCAGAACCGAAGAGTTCCTCATTGTGATAATTCAGATCCATTTCGGAAGTATTTCAGATGAAATGACTGTATGGTGTGACAAGGTTTACAGTGGCAGGGATTCTTTGTGTCCTTTATCTTATTATTTAGGTAATAAAATAACTAGTCTAAAGGTTAGTGGAGCATTTGGTGTCTGAATCCAACCGCTAGCATTTCCCTCAGGAGTTAATGGAGACCAAAACACAGCTGAAAGGAGACTAATGTTACACTTAATCTAGTTGGATGGCCAGAAAAACGCAATGGGAAAAAAAACTGATTGCTAACATCGTTCCATTTTTGAATAATATCTTCATTTCCAGCTCGCAGTAGTTTTTTTGCCCAAAAATGGTAAAAATAATAGTATTTTAGCTTTGATAACTGATTCCCCGGAGTGGCAGAAAGTGACGCAAATGATCAAGTTTTGCCCGGAAGACAAAGCAAACCATGAACTGAAGAATTGATTTTGACTGACAGATACAAAACTTGGCAGTGAAACACAATCCCCTCCCCGGTGTTGCCCTTGAGGGGGCAACACAATGCAAAGTGCTGTGGGATGTTTTGGTGGGGGCCAAAGCTAAGTGCATCCCAGCAACAACAAAACATTTGAACGTCAATCTCGGCTCAGGAAGACAGAATCCCATCGAATAAAACCTCTTATCAAATAAAATCTCAAAATGCCATTAGCAACAAAAGTAAGAATAAAATGGCGAAAGGGATCGTTGCTAATTGAGCAAAAAGGAAAATCAATGCTCTCTTCCTGTAATTCTTCTCCTTCTACGCCGTCTGTCTGCCCTGTGAAGCATCCCTGACTCCCCGCCTGCCAATCTCCCCCAAAAATAAATAAGAGAAGACAAGAGTGTAGCGGAGCCGAGGGGCTTCGCGGGGGCTGCAACCGCCCGGAGCTCCCCCCCCCCCCCCTCAGAAGAGAGCTGCGAGGTGAGAAACAGTGACTCAAACCTTCACAAACATCTCACATTTTCCTCCGTCAGAACAGCGCTAAAAATACTCCGCTGCGCCTTTGCCTCACATCTGCTCCTCCCGGTCTCAAGGAGCTATGCAAATACAAGCACCTCCCTGTTTTTTCTCCCCCGTCTCATCTCTATTTGCCGCGCCGCCCCCGTTGTGACGTACTGCTTTTCCGGGTCTTGTGGACTACATGACTAGAGACATACCCTTTCCCTTTGGGTGTTTCTGTTCTCTTCTCTCAGGCTACGGGGGAGAAACCATAAAAGCTATTTACAAGCAACTGTAGGCAACAGGGGGGAAGAATGTTTTTCTTCCTCTCTCTATCCTCTTTGATGGCGGCGCCGTTCGTGAATCCGCGTGTCGAACTCCCTGAATTTAAGGCGTGACTGAAGCGCTTTTAGGGACTTTGACTACCGTCAGTCCGGCACGTGCAGAGAGGCCCAGACGCAACTCTGCACACTTTTTAGACGGGAACATGTGACGCGTGTCCGGTATCAACGACAAGTCTGCTTTGGGGGGCGGGGGGGGAGGGGGGGGGGGGCGGGCGATCCGAGGCCTGCGGAGATACGATTGAGATGCACGTGGTGGGACACAAGGGCCAACGAAGAAGAAGAAGAAGAAGAAGACGTTAAATGTGAAACGCGAGCTTTCACCAGAACCGTAACGGATCTCCTGCCTCACACTCCCCTCTCGCCGCCTGTTGATCATCACCCGCTTTTCAACCGGCTCTAATCGTCTTATTTTCTCTGCAGACTCCATTCGCCATTACCAGCCCCCCCCCCCCCCCCCCCCCCCCGGGCCCCCACCTGAATAACAATCTGCAACCCGGCCGCCCCTATTTCTTCTCTCTCCCTTGATTGATTCTCACCTTTCCCCTTCTTGCCGCACACCTCATTGACGAAGGCCCCTTTCTGCTCGTTTCCTTTTCACTCTCCCACTCCTTCCTACACCCCCCACCCCCACCCCCTCCCTCCCGCCCTTCTCACTTCCTGTCCTGTCTCTGAAGCGACGGCCAGCTCGGATTTCGTTGGTTTCCAGCCGAGGCCCCGCAACCTTCTGTAATTAGTAGCGGGCATAATAGAGAGGGTTCCTCATCAGGCGAGGTGGGGGAGGGGGGGTGGGGGGGTGTGCACCTCCATCCATCCATCCATCCGTCCATCCATCCTGAAGTCTAATCAGCGGCACACAATGGGGATGTCCCTGCTCCCCCGGATGCTGTCACAAGGCATTGGGTGTCGAGGCGGCGTCCGCGGCGCTCGTCTCTTTAAGGGCTTCCTCTTCTTCCCCGCTTGTCTCTGCTAATTCGGTCTCCGTGGAAACGGGGGGGGGGGGGAGAACCCGTGAAAAATGAAGCTCGTTCAGACGTGTTCATTTAGTCATTTGCAGACGCTCAATCCGGCATGTCCTGATTTATTGATTTTTCCTCATTGCTTCCCTGAGGAATCACGGATGTGAGAGTGCACGAGTGTTTGCTTTCGTGTGCGCGTGTGAATCTGACCCCCAGTCAGTCGTATCCACTGGGGGAGAGTAAGCAAATAGGCCTACATATACCCATTATGATTCCTTATACTGTGAACTGAAATGTTGCACAGTTTCTACTAATTACAGATGTTGGCTTTAGTGGTATTCCTAAAACAAAACAGATCCAACAGAGCAACAAACACGTGTGAATAAGAAACTATGCAAAGATTTACAATATGTAATAATTACATAATTGCTGTGAGGTAAGAACGATCATTACAAATATAAATATTAGACACATATGTGATTATTAACATAAAATAAAAATGAAATGAAGGATTTGCAGGAGTCCGCAGTACTGGTCAAATAAGATTTGAGCACTTCTTCCACCAAGACTACCTTTCATCCCTCTACACACTCTTCACTTCCTGGCTACACACACGCACGCACACACACACACACACACACACACACACACACACACACACACACAGGGCACAGTGGCACGCCGGCTCAGCCTGTTTTCCTGTGGTTGACAGAGACGGACACGCGGCGGAGCCATGGGCTGCGGGCTGCGTAAGATGAAGCCCACGTCGGAGGAGAACAGTCCGGGCAAGATTTACTCCACCCTGAAGAGACCACAGGTGGAGACCAAGGTGGGCGTGGCCTACACCTACCGCTACCTGGACTTCCTCATCGGCAAAGACGGTGAGACCTGTTTTCTCTTTTCATCAGTCTGCTGGCAAGCGGCGTTAAAAAAGCAGTGACCTTTATCTAGTTTATTTTTAGTTTAGGAAATGATTCTCTCCTCATATGCGGACATTCCTTTTAGTCTTTGAAGTGGTTTTTATTCCGAACACAACACAACCAGTCAGACAATCGGACCATAAACGTAACCCACCAAGTTGGGCAATAAAAGCCTGAAATCTTGGCATTGCAGTAGTTGCTGTTGATCAATATTCCCCACAGCTCTCTTTTCGCGGCCGCGTTATGGTCATTTTGTGCTGCCGGGTCGTAAAAATATAAATTATTGCCCCTCGCACATGCACAGTATAAATAATACGAGTAGCTCATAACTGAAGGCTTTTCGCTGCATCATGCCTCAGCGTGATAAGAGGGCAATATGCCTCACTGAGGCCGACTGCGATCTCCTCCTCTTTGTGCTGCGTGTGTTTTTGCTGAATGATGCTACCTCTAGCGTGATTAATCTGTCTACTCCCCCTCTGAAAAAGCCATTGTACCTGCGTGTCTCATAACAGCATTAAGGGTGCCGATGCAGATGAAATTTGTCACTCACGGATACGGGAGCACAGCACACTAGCTGTCATTTTTATAAGGATTTTCTCGCCGTGATTGAGGGCTAATTAGCTCCCTGTATAGCAGCCACTCGTTTATCTTCTCACAATTAGTCAGTCCCGCTTTCACATTGTGCCAATGGTACGGAATTGTCACGCTCCATCCACCCCAAACACCCCGCTGGTGGCAATCAGTTACGCGTGGCACCGTGTCCACGCAGTTAGCGGGAGCTTCAAACAAGGTAAAAGGTAAAAGGTTTCCTGCCACGAAGGTACTCTGTTCCGGGCCACAGGTTTGATCCCCGCACAGCTGTAGTTTCGTCTAGTTTCAGTCTGCTTGGCTGTAAATGAGTTAATTCTGAAGATGAAAATATTGTAGTTCTCTTTTCAAAGTCCATCCACAAACGCCGAAAAGGCCGGGGGAGCCCGCCTCCTCTGCTTCCTCTCCTCGGCCTCCTCGGCTTCCTCTCCTCGGCCTCCTCAGAGTGTTTACGAGCGCGCAGGAGGGTGTCGCTTCCTGAGAGGCCGAGACCTGAAGCAGCGGCTGGTGCTCTTAGTTGCGCGTGTATTAATGTGTGTCCCTGTGCGTTTGCGTTGTTACGATCTAAAGTAAGTGTCTTTTCAAAATAAACTGTGCGTTCACTGTCGACGTGCGGGTCAGGTTGAGGAAAGGATTGTGGCTCGGCTTGGAATAAGTTTGTGTCTTAAGCAATGAAGTTACGTTGTAAATCTTTATGGAAGTTAACAAATTGACCTGGTTTCACACCGGATTGTCAGGTTGTCAAGTCCCGTGTTTTTTATCTGGTCTACGTGTTGCTTCCTGCTCAGTTCACTCGTTCTACAACTGCTGAATGTGCCGCCAACAAGCTCTGATATGTTAAAACTCTTTTATCAACTTGTTTACACTGCTTGCACGTTTTGGCAATGTGATTTACATACAAATAAAGAAAATGATCCATTTTCGCATTTTTGGGGACATCTGGAACTGTTTACATTCTGACTCCCAAAGCGTTTGGAGCAGTCTGGCAGAGCTTGATTCCAACAAATATACACGACATGTTCTGCACGTCTGATGAGACACCGTCAATACGTTTCCTCGCATGCAAATCAGTTGTTTGCCTCGAACATCCCGATTAAGTGTGTGACACTAATGAACTCACACCGCACTTCGACACATCCACACAATTCCTGGTGATTGTCGTAACAGAAAATCCATCCCGCTAATCCCTCCGTGAAGTCCACCCCCCCTTCGTCTTCCTCCACCGCTGGCCGCTCGCTCCTCAGACCCACCGCCAGTTCACTCCCACGGCCTTTTGTAGCTTAAACCCGGAACCAAAAACAAAGAAAGAGGCCAGACTGAAACATATCAACAGCCAGAGTCATTTAAAAGAATTAACCGACTCCACTATTAAACTATTAGTGAGGTCACCTGGTGTTTAACTGAAAATCAAAAGCACTGCTCATAAAGTGAATATATAATAAAACTACTGGACTGAGATTGATTAAAAAAGTAGAGTTTAATGTCATCCGAGAGCTTGGACCCAGACATCAGCGCTGGGGTGGAGGTCGAGGTCAATTTAAGAGCGGGTGTGGAATTAGGATTGGAGTGAGGGTACACGTATAACTGGGGTCATGAAGGTGAGCAAACGGGAAACCAACGAGCTCACGGGCGACATAGTGTGCGTTTGTGTGCGCTGCAGCCCAGGGGGGGGAGTCAAGGGGGCTAAATATAGCCGTCGCTGCTATTTGTGCTATCGACAGTTAAAGCTGAAATGATGGCGGGAGGGGAGGGCAGGGGGGAGGAGGAGGGGGAGGGGGTTGGTACGGGAAAACCGGGAGATGCAGTGCGCGGCGCGTTCGCCCCGACAGCTGATTAGTCTCCATTAGTCTGTCAGGCTGACTAGACTGGATGGATGGAGGAGCCGGGGAACGCCGGCGTCACACCAGGGCGGGGATGGAAGAGGGGGGGGCCGGAGGTGGACGGCTGCCTTCCTTTTGTTGAACCGCATTGTGTGTCTGTGTGTCTGTGTGTGTGTTCCTTTGGCTCATGGCCACCCTGTTATCTCCAAGCATTCCCTGCAGTGGTGGGGGCTTCGCTCCTCGCTGTAATCAGTTTCCTCTTACCCCGTCTCTCTGTCACTGTCAGGACGACTCCGGCCGTGTCCCTCTGCTCACTTCTTGACGTCTGTGTGTGTGTGTGAGTGTGTGTGTGTGTGTGTGCGTTTCCCGGAGGAGCGCAGTAAGTTTGAGAAATGGCCGCGCGTCTGTAAAGTGGCTGAATCGTTTCGGTGCATCAGCGGGTTCTTTCGGGGTTGAAGGGGCAGCGTGTTGTAATGACGTTGTACAAGTGCGGGCAATGATTCATGCGTCGGGTCTTTTTCTACAGGAAGACCTGTAAAATATTTAAGACGCAGTCAAAGATTATGAATATCAAAATCATCTCCGGTAGAGCTGTAGGGCAGGTTCACACATTCAGATACTTAAAGTGTGAGCAGCTATAAAGAAATCAGGGATTAGTACTTGACGATTGGCTTCAACTATGCAGATGGTGAATTGTGTTATTTTAAATATAACTACTTCCTGTACTCGTTCCTTTGCATGCGTCTCCTCGCCTGGATGAGAGGTCAGCCTGCACCCGGGTCACATGTACGGGGTGTATTCACTTCAGAGGAGCAGGCCGCTCGGCCCTTTATGTCAACAAGAAGGACATCAAATAAACCTACTCGACCCGTCACAAACGACACAAATCCACTGCCTTTGTGTGGTTAAAGATGCATTCAACCTCATGATTATCGTGTGTCTATATTTGACATGGCGTGCGTGTTAGCGGGAGGAAAACGCCGGCATTTGAAAGAGGGAGCTGGTTTTGCGTGCATCCCCTCAACCAACAAAGGAGAGACTAACATGTTAATATGCGTTGCTCCATCAGGAATAGGAGATATATTTAGCAGAGCGGAGAAACAACACCGGTGGAGTCAAATGTCTCGAGCTGCAGCTTTCATCTATTTCATCTAGCAATAAAATTATTATAAAGCTTATGCTGGCCGATGTTAAACTCTTCTCTACATGTTACGATTAAGCAAAGCTTTAAAGCAAATGCAGTGTACCATCATACTGTTGATGACAATGATAATTTAACTTTTGAGCTGGATTATGCAGCTTTTATTCACTTTTATTATCATGATTATGAAAGAACTTTGAAGCAACCTTTAAATTCAGGCCTTGCTGGCCTCAAATATTCTCGTCACATGTTCAGGATCAGATGAGCACTGAAGAGTTCTCACAGCACAACTCATCTTATTCATCTGAAACAGCAATGTCACGTTTCATTATGTTACAGTAACGTGTAAAACGATTCATTCAACAAAAAAAACAGATCTGCGTTTGTTGTTGTCGGCATCAAAACCCTTCTGGTGTCGTATGAAAAAGAGGAGCAACAGTGAAAGGGAATAGTTTTTCTTGTTAAGTTCTAATTTTGGAATCATTATCGCCGTCACTGTCTAACTTTGCATAATACAAGCCTCACTTTTAAAATGTTAAAGTACCAGGAGCTGCGCCAAAAACAAAATCCTCTGCATCAGCATTTTAAACCGGGGACTAAATGAAAGCCGACTTCCCGCTCTCCTCCTCCACCTCTGTCTTCGTGCCCCCATGACGCTAAGTTTCCTTTAGTGGAGCGACTGCACCGTGAATAATGTTTGCAATCATCTCTCGCCACAGTGTTAGATCATCGCTTTCTGCAACTTCCACCGCAACGGCCCCGCAGGCCGCTAAGCAGCGGGCGAACGAAGCCTCTCTGCAGGAGCCACGCAGGGAGGACTGAACCAGCGGAAAGTTTTTAAAGCAGTAAACCTCCTCTGCATTTCGCATCATCAGGCGTTCGGCCTCACGGCCGCTCTGCCGCCGTTCGTTCACCCGCCTCTGCAAAACGGAGAGTCTGCTTGATATGGAGATCGTGACCCGGCAGGCAGCTGAGGAGGCGCCTCGCCGTCGCTGTGTTAGATGGTGTGGAACAAAAAAAAAAAAAGAAGAAAGAAGCCATTTCGTTGTAAACACGAGTGCAACATTATGTTTTTTAAAATGGTTAAAAACGTCAGGAGGAACAAAGAAATTGAAAAGCGAGCGTCTTCTCGGCGGGAAGGTCGGGAATATTTTAAAACATAAAGATGTGGGCCCTTGATATTCAAGCCAGGCCAGCAGACACGTGAGGCCTCGCATACACACACACACACACACACACACACACACACACACACACACACACACACACACAAAGACACCGTTTGATATCATTTATATATATAATTTATATGCAAAACCCCCCCGAGTCCCCTTGTTAATATGGGCTGTAAAAGTGGCGGCGAGTGAGTGACACGCCGGAGCCCCGCTCCCCCCCCCCCCCCTCCTCTTTCA